CTGTGCAACTCAGATTGGGACTTGAACCCACATTCTTAGGACTGAGATCACACACCTGGTCTTAGGACTTAATGAAGCTCAGCTTCTTGATGTATCATGGCAGAAATAATTCAGTGAGAGACAAAGTAATAGGTAGAAATTGCTAGGCAGTCAGTTTAGGACTCTGAGACCTCATTATGTTTTCAATAAACATCTTGCCCCATTAATCTAAAGCTACACCCTTTGTCCCAAATTCCCGGAATGTGCCTTGGTCTGATAAATTATCAGGACTCAGATCCAGGTAAAGGCAGTAATTAACTTCTGTCACATATACCTGAGGGAAAAACAACCAGTGATCTTTAATCTTTAGCCCATATATCTGGTCCATTGTAAAATGGCTGAAAGTGAAAGTCACTCAGTCATGTCTGACTCTTTGCGACCCTATGGAGTATGCAGTCCATGGAATTCTCCAGGCCAGAATACTGGACTGGGTAGCCTTTCCCTTTTCCAGGGGATATTCCCAACCCAGGGATCAAACCCAGGTCTCCCACATTGCAGGCGGATTCTTTACCAGCTGAGCCACAAGAGAAGTCCAAGAATATTGCAGTGGGCAGCCTATCCCTTCTCCAGCACATCTTCCTGACCCAGGAATCAAACTGGGGTCTCCTGCATTGCAGGCGGATTCTTTACCAACTGAGCTATCAGGGAAGCCTGTAAAATGGCTAGGGGGTGTAAAAAAGAGAGGCAACTAAATAGGAGGATCAGGACAAGCCATAAAGATGTTAAGCTAAACATTGTGACCTTTAAACTGATTGGTTAAAAATGATGTATTTTAAGCACAGGAGCCAATCAAAAATGTACAGATTAATACTGGTAAGGATATAAACTGCTGTAAGTCTCACCTTCTGGGGTCTGTTTACCCACTCTCAGTGTCTGGGCCGAGAGCTTTGTACTTTCCTTCTCTATAATAAGTCCTATTTGCTTACAACTGTGAGTGTTTGTGTGTTCGTGAAGTTCATTCTTTGGCTCCATGAATAAGAACTTGGATTCCCATTTCAGTAGGTAAGAAGTGGATTTATTTAGAGAGAAACACACTCCACAGACAGAATATAGGCCATCATAGAAGGCAAGGGCAGCACCAGGATATGGAGTTGTCAACTTTTATAGGGACAGGTAATTTCATAGATTAGTGAGTGGGAGGAGTATTCTAACTATTTGGTTGAAGGGATGGGGATTTCCAGGAACTGGGCCACCACCTACTTTTTGATCTTTATAGTCAGCCTTAGAACTGTCGTTGTGCTTGTGGGTGTGTCACTTAGCTTGTTGATGTGTTACGTTGAGCATATACTGAGGTTCAAAGTCTAGCAGAAGTTGACTCATTTGCCATCTTGGACCTCAGTTCAGTTCAGTCACTCAGTCGTGTCTGACTCTTTGTGACCCCATGGACTGCAGCACGTCAGGCTTCGCTGTCCATCACCAACTCCCAGAGCTTACTCAAACTCATATCCATCGAGTCAGTGATGCCATCCAACCATCTCATCCTCTATCGTCCCCTTCTCCTCATGCCTTCAATCTTTCCCAACATCAGGGTCTTTTCCATTCAGTCAGTTCTTCACATCAGGTGGCCAAAGTATTGGAGTTTCAGCTTCAGCATCAGTTCTTCCAATGAATATTCAGGACTAATTTCCTTTAGGATAGACTGGTTGGATCTCCTTGCAGTACAAGGGACTCTCAAGAGTCTTCTCCAACACCACAGTTCAAAAGCATCAGTTCTTCAGTGCTCAGCTTTATTTATAGTCCAATGCTCATGAAAAGACCCTGATGCTGGGAAAGATTGAAGACAGGAGCAAATGGGGATGACAGAGGATGAGATGGTTGGATAGCATCACCAACTCAATGGACATGAGTTTGAGTAAATTCTGGGAGTTGGTGATGGACAGGGAGGCCTGGCGTGCTGTGGTCCATGGGGTCGCAACGAGCTGGACACAACTGAGCGACTGAACTGGACTGAACTGAACTCTCACATCCACACATGACTACTGGAAAGACCACAGGTTTGACTAGATGGACCTTTGCTGGCAAAGTAATGTCCCTGCTTTTTAATATGCTGTCTAGGTTGGTCATAGCTTTTCTTTCAAGGAGCAAGCATCTTTTAATTTCATGGCTGCAGTCACCATGTGCAGTAATTTTGGAGCCCCCCAAAATAAAGTCTGTCACTGTTTCCACTGTTTCCCCATCTATTTGCCATGCACTGACGGGACCAGATGCCATAATCTTAGTTTTCTGAATGTTGAGCTTTAAGCCAATTTTTGCACTCTCCTCCTTCACTTTCATCAAGAGGTTAGTTCTTTGCTTTCTGTCAAAAAGGTGGTGTAATCTGCATATCTGAGGTTATTGATATTTCTCTCAGCAATCTTGATTCCAGATTGTGTTTCCTCCAGTCCAGCATTTCTCATGATGTACTCTGCATATAAGTTAAATAAGCAGGGTGACAATATACAGCTTTGATGTACTCCTTTCCCAATTTGGAACTAGTCTGTAGTTCCATGTCCAATTCTAACAGTTACTTCTTGTCCTGCATACAGATTTCTCAGTAGGCAGGTCAGGTGGTTTGGTATTCCCATCTCTTTAAGAATTTCCCACAGTTTGCTGTGATCCACACAGTCAAAGGCTTTGGCGTAATCAATAAAGCAGAAATGGATGTTTTTCTAGAACTCTCTTGCTTTTTCAATGATCCAACGGATGTTGGCAATTTGATCTCTGGTTCCTCTGCCTTTTCTAAATCCAGTTTGAACATCTGGAAGTTCATGGTTCAAGTACTATTGAAGCTTGGATTGGAGAATTTTGAGCATTACTTTGCTGACATGTGAGATGAGTGCAATTGTGTGGTAGTTTGAGCATTCTTTGTCATTGCCTTTCTTTGGGATTGGAATGAAAACTGACCTTTTCCAGTCCTGTGGCTACTGCTGAGTTTTCCACATTTGCTGGCATGTTGAGTGTAGCACTTTAACAGCATCTTTTAGGATCTCCTAAAAGATCTTGGATCTAGTTGTTTCTAATCAGTTTATGTCATGTCTTGTGGCTATGTCAATACTTGTAAAGGTTGTTTCTGCCACATCCCTCTTGTTTCACAATCAGTCAAATTGTGTAGTTTCTATCTTTACAGTCCTTCATTTCTAATCTCAGTGTCCCACTCTTTCTACATCAGGGCTTTGTAATTACCCACTACCTGGATGTCTTGGTCCCTTCCCCAGTGACTCAGCAGTAAAGAATTTGCCTGCAATGCGGTAGACATAGGAGACACAGTTTCCATCTCTGGGTTGGGAAGATCTCTGGGAGGAGGAAATGGCAACTCATTCCAGTATTCTTGCCTGGGAAATCCAATGGACAGAGGAGCCTGACCAACTACAGTCCATGGAGTTGAAAAAGAGTTGGACATGACTTTGCACACACACACACACACACACACACACACACACACACACATTCCAGTATTCTTGCCTGGGAAATCCAATGGACAGAGGAGCTTGACCAACTACAGTCCATGGAGTCGAAAAAGAGTTGGACATGACTTTGCACACACACACACACACACACACACATACCATGGATGTCTTTGTCCATTCAGGCTGCTATAACAGTATCACAGACCGAGTCGTTTTTAACTAACAAATTTATTTCTCATGGTTCTGTAGGCTGGAAATTTAAGATCAGGGTGCCAGCTTGGTCATGTTCTGGTGAAGGCAGTCTTCCAGGTTGCAGATTGCTGACTTCTTGCTGTGTCCTTAAACTTGGGTGGCCACAGTCCGCAGTGGCTTGAAGCAGGACTTTGGCTCCTCAGCAGGAATTGAAGTCAGGGTATGGCAGTGAGATCCCTGAATCCTCGCCACTAGACCAGCAGAACCAGTGGCCAGTAGCAAAGCCTTGGCCAGTTGGCTTTGTAGAAATGAATTTCCACAAAGAGATGGAAAGTAGTGAAGCAAAGTAAAGTGTTTAGAGAGGAAAGAGTACATGTGGATAGACACACATGAGTGGTCTCAAAGAGAGAGTCATGCCCTCCTGGTAGTTTGAATCACTTATATGGGGCATTTCTTCCCAGCTTCCTCTGGCCAATCATCTTGCTTTATCTGGGTTTGAGTCCATATTTGGTTTACCTCAGGGTCCTCCCATGTGTGGAGTTTCCCTGGTGGTTCAGTAGTAAAGAATCCACCTCCACTGTCGGAGATGGTTCAATCCCAGGGTCTGGAAGTTCCCCTGGAGAAGAAAATGGGAACCCACTCCAGTCTTCCTGCCTAGGAAATCCCACACACAGAGGAGCCTGGTGGGCTACAGTCCATGGGATTGTAAAAGAGTCAGACACTACTTGGCGCCTAAGCAACAATGCCTAGCCCATAAAAAGTATTTTTAATTGTATTAAACGAATGGCACACCACTGTTTTAGAGCATTATATAATCAAGCGCACATGAAATCAGGTTTAAGACAAAAATTTTCTCACGAAGTATACGGATGAAATCTATAGAAAACTTACAGCGACGTTGTTGATAATCAGAAGGGACCAGAGAAGCCACCTGCCACATTTGCACAGCGATTTAAAAAGCGTCCTCATATAAACTTTGGTTCTCACAACAACCCTGCAAAGTACGCTCTAGAGGTATTATTAACTTTGGTTTACAAGGAAACCGGCCACCTAGGTCAAGCATGATTGACTAAGGTGGAGCCGGGACGCTCTCCTCCGCCTCCCTGACCTAGGATCCTTCCCTGTCGCGCCTAGGCAGCCGCGAGCGGCGCTGCGGAACTCTGTTTCCTTTTCTTCCCCTGTATTACATTTGCAAACCCATCCTAAAGGCGCGGCCCGCCGGCAGGTGCACATCCAGGCGCAGGTGCGGGCGACGGCCGACCAGCCCGGCGCCCTAGGCCGCGCGACCATAGAGTCCGGAAGTGCAGCCCCAGCGGTTCCCTGCGGGCGCCGCTTGTTCCCAGCCCCGGCCACGCACACGAGGGCCGCGCTCCGGCGGGCTGAATGGCCGCAGGGCTGGCCGTCAGGGTGGTCGCCGGGCTGGCGGCCGCGGCCTTGGCGGCAGTGTTCTTGGAACACTACGGCCTGGCCGGCCGGTCTTCACCACTGCCCCAGCCCCGCAATCCCCCGCGCCCGCACCCTGCGCCGGGCCCCGGAGCCGGCAACATCTTCTGGGGTCTGCAGGTGACGCAGCGGGCGCCCAGGCTGGGGTGGTGGTGGTGGGGCGCCTGGGGTTTCAGGGCGGGCACCAAGCGGCATGAGACGCCGGCAGTGTCCACGCGGGCGCGACCCGCTCCTGTCCCGGCCTAATCTCTGCGCTGGGGGCGGAGTGGTGGTGGTGGTGGTGCTGCTGCTGCTGCTCGTGCTTGGTCCTCCCCTGGGGGATCGTGAATGCTCCGAGTCTTTGCCTTTTTCTTCCGCCGGAGAAAGCCCCTGGGTCGTCTCGATCTGTGCTGCCTCTTCCTGACTCAGATCTCTCTGTTCAATACCCGCTTTCGGCAGATATCCGACATTCACCTGAGCAGGTTTCGCGATCCAGGCAGAGCTGTAGACTTAGAGACGTTCTGTTCTGAAACTGTTGACATCATTCAACCAGCTCTCGTCCTAGCAACAGGTAGGGACGATTGCGTGCTGTCCTGTTGTCCTGTGGTCCCAATGGTAGAATGCAAGCAATGCTGCAACCTTTTAACTGAGGGACGTTAGGAAAACTCTAGCTGCAGCCTCAGGTGAGCCCTCCTCCTGTAGAGGAGATGGGATATTGTAGTTTCCTTTGCCTGTGGATAACTGAGTCAAGATCCGGGCTAAGTGACTTGCCACAGCAAGGTTTCGTCCTAGCGATAGAAGCAAGGCACGTGATTCTCATGTTCGTGTTCTGTCTGCTCTATCTGTATCTGTTTTGTCGTACTTCTAGATCTGAGAGAGAATTAAGGAAAGCCCTTTAACCAGGAATGAAAAGTTATCATCCTTCTCCTCGTATTCTTGTTCTTTTTTTTCTTTAATTAAACTTTTCCATTTTCTTTGCAGTATTAATCGATCTTATACCGTCAGTTGTTTGATGGATCCTTTTTTTCACCCCTTCCTACTTCTGTGACTTGGTTCCCTGGAGTATTCAAACCCCAAACCCTTTGCTCCCAACTGTGTTGAAGAAGAAGCTAAAGGAGCATCTATCCTGGCCTTTGGGGAATTCATCTTCCGCCCACCTTACAGAAACATCTCTGCCTATATGATGAAACCCTCATTTTATGGATGATCTCAATTTCAAATGCTTAATTTCCTAGAAATTTTCTATTTCATTTTCCAAGCCACACCTTCCAGATTTTCTTGCTGTAGAATTAATACTTTGTTGGATCACATTTCCTGATTTGGGGTTTGGAAAATTAGGTTGCCATAGATATTAGGCAACTGCACAAAGTGTTGGAATTTATTGTTAAAGAGTTTTCATTTTATCAGAGTTTCAAGATGCATTTTTACAACTCTCTTTAAAGGTATAGTTTTCATAACCCATTTCTAATGTAACAGGAGGTTAACTAGGCACTTGTTGACCTATAAGAAACAAAAAATCCATGCTGAGGATCTTGTTTTATTTTTTTTTAGGCTGTACTATGTGGCATATGAGATCTTAGGTCTCCAACCAGGAATGGAACCTGTGCCCCCTCCATTGGGAGTTCGGAGTCTTAACCACTGAACTGCCAGGAAGTCCCAAGAATCTTATTATTATTTTTTCTGAGAATCTTAATTTAGATGACTTGCTTTGGATGCAGGTGGATTCATAGTGGTTATCCTTAAACATGTTGAGTACTTTGAATATCTTTGCTTTTCAGTGTGTGTAAAAAAAAAAAGTTGAACCCCAGTCCAGCTTTACTTTGCATTGTGATTACCTTCTTTTGTACACCTACAGGAGACCTGACAGATGCCAAAACAAAGGATAATTTGGGATCCATGCAGCAAGAGGTAGAATGGCAGACTTACCAGAGTATTCTGAAGAAGACAAAAGTCATGGAAAAAACCAAGTGGCTTGATATCAAAGGAAATCATGGTAAGAGTGAAGTCCCACTTATAGTTAAGACTAGATCTTTATAGGAGCCCAGATTCTCCAATTTAAATGGTAAAATTATAAAATGGGACATTGTAACATAAGTTTAGATACACTGAAGACCACAACTAAGAAATACAACTGTAATATGTGATTTTAAAACTTCAGATGTCGCTATTAGACCTTGAGGGGGAAGTTGGTATGGTTTCTTTCTTCTTTACATGGAAGAAAAGCATATAGCAAAATCCATGGAGGTGAATGTTTAAAAAGATATAATTTTTGCTGAGTGAAAGAAGCCAAATCCGTAAGTCTATATACTGTATAATTTCATTTATATGATATTCAAGAAAAGGCAAGACTAGACAGAGAACAGATTGTGGTTGCCAAGGGTTGGAGATAAAGAGGCTAACTACAAAGAACGATTGTGAGATAATTTTGGGGGGTGAACAGCACAGGTTGGGTGCATGAGACAAGTGCTCAGGCCTGGTGCACTGGGAAGACCCAGAGGGATCGGGTGGAGAGGGAGGTGGGAGGGGGGACCGGGATGGGGAATACATGGAAATCCATGGCTAATTCATTTCAATGTATGACAAAAACCACTGCAATGATGTAATTAGCCTCCAACTAATAAAAATAAATGGAAAAAAAAATAAAGCTTATCATGTGGATGGATGAAAAAAAAAATATTTTGGGGGGTGAAGATACTGTTATGTGTCTTGAGTGTGCTGGTAAATACATGACTGTATGCTTGTCAATGTCTTTAGAACTGTACATCACAAAGATTGAATTTTGCTATATATATTTAAAAATTTAAGTGACAAGTATATCCACATATGCATAGAGAGAAATGGATAACCCCTTCCCAATTTTTTAGATTGTGATTGTTACATTAATAAGAAAATGAACTATTTTCCAAGAGTCCTGATGGTAAATTTGTTTGTTTCAAAAAGGTTGACTTTCTTATTGGTTATGTAAGTATTTCATTCTGCTTCATTTTATTATTCATTGCTGATGAATACCTATTTATATATTTTTTCAAAAGGTATATTTATAAATTCTATCTGGTGAAATACACAGCTATTAGTTGGATCAGAAAATGCTCTCTATAAAAACAGTTGATCCTTTGCTCACTGCAACTAGAGAAAGCCCATGTGCACAACAAAGAAGCCCAGTGCAGCCAAAAGTAATGAACAAATAAATCTTTAAAAACAAAAAAAAAACACAGTTGACCCTTGAACAATGTGGAAGTTAGGGGGACCAACTACCAGGCAGTTGAAAATTCGGGTATAATTTTGCAGTTGGCCCTCTGCATCTACAGATTCAACCAACTAAGGATCTGTAGTACTGTAATATGTATTTTAGAACAAAATTCACCTGTGAGTGGATTTACATAGTTCAAATGTCAATTATAGTTCTTACAAATCGGCTAGAAATTATAATTAAAGATATGATTCTGGCTTACAATTTTCTCTGGTATGTTTACATTCCCTTTTTTCTTCCTGATCTTAATTAGGGGTACTGGTCAAATTATTTTGGAATAAAAGGCAAATCTGTGTATATTAAAGTTTTCCAAGCCAAACTACTGACGTTTTTTTAAGTAACAGATATCAATTGGAGTTTTGTGATTAGATGCCTTAAATAAGTTTCCAGATAATCTGAATTCTATTAAGTTATGAAGTTTTAAAAATTAAAATTAAATGCCAGTCTAATTAGTTGGCATCTGCCATCTAAAGTGTTATTGAAAGAATTGTCATTTTTCTTCAGTCATTAACATGTTTGCATTTTTCTTTTTAATTTAGATGATGTTTGCTCTTTTCTTTTTAATTAGATGCATTCAACATTCCAAGTCTGGAGAGTGTTGAGAATTATTACAGGTACTGTAATGCACAGAAGATAGACAACAATATAGAGTTTGTGTTACAAAGAGGGTGCAGTCAATTCACTTAATGGGTGAGAACATTTTTTAACAGAGAAAAGAACCTCTCGTAATTTAAAAATGTAGCCTTTTAGTTGTTTATCATTATTATTTTGGTGACTCATTTTTGTTTGTTTGCTTAGCCCTCCCTTTATTCTTTTCATTTCATATAATTTGATGCTTTTTGTTGGCCAATGGTACTTTTAATAGTTTATACAGACTTTTTTTGTTGTTGTTGATATACAGCAAAAGTCATTTAGATCAGAGCTTGTCAATCAGAGTACTGTGGACTTTAAGAATACTAAGCTACTGATTCTCTTAGCCTCTGGGGTGGCTGAAGAGCCCAGTTGGTCTCTTCTGGGTGTTTTGTCCAATATGTTATACAAATATTTTTTAAATTTATGTGCATGAATATGAAAAAGGCAATGAATATGAAAGGATCTTTGAATCACAAAACCAATTTTCTAGTTTCAGTGTATTGGAATTCTTCTTTTGGCTGTAATTTCACTTTTTGTTCCTGTAGCTTTGTTCTACATTGTTTCAGTAGCTTTGTTCTACATTGTCAATTAGTCAAATAGCAAGTATTGAGTCTATCATTAGTTGCATAGTATGAGAGAAACAAATATGCCCTCTCTCTTCAAGTGAGTCTAGCTAAGGTAGATGAAAATTGTTTAGGAAATGGTTAGAAAAGAACATGAAGGAATGGCTGATGAAATGCTAGATTATTTGTGACACTTAATTAGCACTATGAGAAATCAGAAAAGGCAGACATCAGCATGGGGTAGACATATAGCAGACTTTATTTTTCATTTTTGTTTTTCATTGAGGTATAATTGACATATAACATTATGTAAGCTTAAGGTGTGCAGTGTGTTAGTGTGATTCATTTATATATTGCAATACGATTATCACATAAAGTTAGCTAATATCTCTATCACTTCACATAGTTATTGTTTCTTTTTTGTGGAGTAAACAATTAAGATATGGTCTGTTAACAACTTTGAAGTTTATAATACAGTATTTTAAAATTATAATTACTACACTGTGCATTAGATCTATTTATCTACTAGTTGCAAGTTAGAACAGACTTTGTGAAAGTAGTGAAAATTGGGTCCAGTCTTAAAACATGGGTAGCCTTTGGAGGAGTAAGAAATCTGAGGGAGGTATATTTTAGGCAAAAGGATGAGTATAAACAGAGCTTTAAAAACTAGAATGAGGTTTTGAGTGCAGTAAGGAAACTGTTATCATCAGAATAAAGGTTCATTTTGAAGACTGATACAACATTGGATAGAGAGTGTAGAGCCAGTTCATGGTGGTGTCAAGTGACAAGCATAGAAATTTAGATGTGATGGGTAATAATAGTTTATAATCCATTATAGGTTCCTAAGGAGATTAGCAACATAGGAAAATAGTATTTTATAAAGGGCAGATACATAACAAAATAGAGATAGGGATAAAAAGAAAAAGGGAGAGATTAGAGTTGTATAGACCAAGTAGAAAAATCCTGCAGTAGTCTAACCATCATAAGGAAAAGGTTAGAAATGAGTAGAAAACCTGTCTGAACAAGGATCATGGATATGGGGATGGTGACATGAATTTGAGGATGTTAACTGGTAAACAGATAGAGTCACCATAACATGGAAGAGGGGGTTGTCCTCTTTTGTTAAAGTGGGAAAGGAGAAGGACAGAGATGAAAATCTCCCACTTCTTATTAACTGTTTGTATCTTTGATGGTGATTATGGGAATGGGCTTAAGAGACATTTTCAAAGAATTAACAGGATTTAGGGTCTGATTAGTAACTGGGAAAAGTCAAATTATTAATCATTTTAAAGTTTTTTACCTTTATATTTTTGTTTCTAATCATTAAACTTTATCTGGATTTAATAAATGACACTTAGCTAGAGACCAGGCATTATGGAAGTATCATATGAAAGGAAGGAAAAAAATGGAAGGGAAAAAATCTTGAGGTTAAATCGTGATCTCTAGAATGCCTCAGAGATGCCAAAATCCAGATTTCAAAGACTATTGTATATTTTAACCTCCGCTTTCAAATACCTGAATTTTATTTTAGATAGTTGGATTTTAATATGTCAAAAATATAGGAAAGGAAACAATATATATGAGATTATAAGATCTTGAAGAATAACTGGAAAAAAAGGCAGGAAAAATATCAGTACAAATTTTAATGAGGAAAATCCCTGAGATAGAAATTTTAAAAATATCAGGAAGAGAGGTAATAGAACTGATTGACTATTAATTGTAATATCTATGACAGTATATTTATGATATATTTGATAGTTGTTGTTGCTTAAAAATAGCTTCCTGATGGCACATTAAATTTCAGAAGTTTATTTGTATTTCTTTCACATGTACTCTTAGGTAAAATATCATACAAGACACTCAGATATTTTCTTATCTGACACTTGAATAATAAAGGTCTGCTCCAAATATTGGAGAATGAAGTGGCAACCCACTGCAGTATCCTTGGCTAGAGAATCCCATGGACAGAGGGGCCTGGTGGGCTGCTGTCCACAGGGTCGCACAGAGTCAGATACGACTGAAGCGACTTAGCATGCATGCATTCTTTGGAGAAGGAAATGGCAACCCATTTCAGTATTCTTGCCTAGAGAGTCCCAGGGACAGAAGAGCCTGGTGGGCTGCCGTCTATGGGGTCACAGAGTGGGGCACAACTGAAGCGACTTAGTAGCAGCAGCAGCAGCAGCAGCTCTAAATATAATCTCTACTTTCTTTCACATTTATTCAGCAAATACTCAATGAGTGCCAAGCCTGTACACTTTGTTACCCATCCTTTCTCCTTGCTCTTCAGTCTCCATCTTATTGGACACCTGAATACTGTTGATACTTAAGGTGATTGGGACTTTCTTTACTGGATGTGGACCCTGTGTATGTTTTCAATATATTTTTAGAAACTGAAAAAAGATTTACTGGTTCTGACTGAACATTTTTCTCCTGGCTCAATAACTTCTTCTTTGCAAGGCTTTATTGTGGCTTAAGCCTTTGCACTCCTGTTTTAAGAACTCAACACTTTTGTATCTCACTACACCAAGAATTCTGCTAGGTACTTAGCAGGCCCTCACTACAATATTTTTTGACTTACCAGGTGGTGCTAGTGGTAAAGAAACCGCCTGCCAATGCAGGAGATGTAAGAAATGAGGGTTTGATCCCTGGGTTGGGAAGATTCCCTGGAGAAGGGAATGGCAACCCACTTCAGTATCTTTGCCTGGAGAATCCCATGCAGAGAGGAGCATGGCAGGCTACAGTCTGTTGGGTCTCAAAGAGTTAGACACAACTGAAGCCACTTAGCACACATGCACTATAATTTTTAATGATTGATAAGTACCATTTCCTTGGATTCTGATTTATCTCTTTTAAAATGTTTAGTGGACTGCTTAAGTTAGCCACCTACTTTTCTGCTTTGCTTGGTGACCTTGTGCTTGGTTACTGATGAATATGTTTGTCTGTATCTTTCCCTGGTGGCTCAGAGATTAAAGCGCCTGCTTGCAATGCGGGAGACCTGATTTCAATCCCTGGGTCGGGAAGATTCCCTGGAGAAGGAAATGGCAACCCACTCCAGTATTCTTGCCTGGAGAATCCCATGGACAGAGGAGCCTGGTGGGCTACAGTCCATGGGGTTGCAAAGAGTTGGACATGACTGAGCGACTTCACTTTCACTTTCACTTGGAGACAATAGGAAAAAAATTTTAATTGTTTTACCCATTGTGGGTCTGGTATCTAGTTTTGTTTATTTCTCTGTCAGATCACAGAAATTTCCTTTATAAAGGGAGTCAAAATATAGTGTGATAGTAGGTTAGGAATTTAAACTCATTCTGTTTTCTTATGATTGCACTAAAGCTTTCTTGTCTTGTATTTTTTTAGGAAGTATTCTGCTGTACGGAGGGATGGCTCTTTTCGTTATGTCCACAGTACTCCCTTTGGCAACTATTCTTTCATCTCTTTGGATGCCACCCTTAATCCAGGGCCTAAGAGACCTTTTAATTTCTTTGGAATTTTAGATCAGGTACAGTAAAAATCCCACTTCCCTTTGCAGCTAACCTATTTTATTTTTTTCAGATGCATGTGGCTCACTTAAAGTTATCCTAGGTAGACAAATTCTTATCTAGAAATGCTCGAGCAAAGTTCTACTGTGGTTTCAGTTATGGCTAGAAGAAATTATTGACTCCTTCAACCCTATTATTGCTATCCCTGTTCTTGTCCCAAAACCTGGGAAAGGAATAACTCACATTTTATATCATTAAATTAAAAGGTGCTTGTTTCTTGGAAGGAAAACTATGATAAACCTGCTGCTGCTGCTAAGTCGCTTCAGTCGTGTCTGACTCTGTGAGACCCCATAGACAGAAGCCCACCAGGCTCCCCCGTCCCTGGGATTCTCCAGGCAAGAACACTGGAGTGGGTTGCCATTGCCTTCTCCAGTGCATGAAAGTGAAAAGTGAAAGGGAAGTTGCTCAGTCGTGTCCGACACTTAGCAACCCCATGGACTGCAGCCTACCAGGCTCCTCTGTCCATGGGATTTTCCAGGCAAGTGTACTGGAGTGGGTGCCATTGCCTTCTCCAGTGACAAACCTAGACAGCATATTAAAAAGCAAAGACATCTCTTTGCTCTCAAAGGACCATCTAGTCAAAGCTACGATTTTTCCAGTAGTCATGTCATGTATAAATGTAAGAGCTGGATCATAAAGAAGGCTGAGCACAGAAGAATTGATGCTTTTGAATTGTGGTGCTGGAGATGACTCTTGAGAGTCCTTTAGATTGCAAGGAGATAAAACCAGTCAATCCTGAAGGAAACCAACTCTGAATATTCAGTGGAAGGACTGATGCAGAAATTGAAGCTTCAGTGTTTTGGCTACCTGATGTGAACAGCCAACTCTTTGGAGAAGATGTCAATGCTGAGAAAGATTGAAGGCAAGAGGAGAAGTGGACACCGGAGGTTAATATGGTTACATAGCATCAATGTCTTGATGGACATGAATTTGAGCAAACTCTGGGAGACAGTGAAGAATAGAGGAGCCTCGTGGGCTGCAGTCCATGGGGCTGCAAAGAGTTGGACATGACTTAATGACTGAACGACAACAGTAACATTTATTGAATAGGTACTAAGTAGAGTATGCACTTTGCAAGGTGCAGGGCATACAGCTTTGTCTATAATATGGCATATTCCTATATCCCCACAGTTGCCATTTCTAACTAATGGTCTATGTTTTTGTTTTTGTTTTGTTTTGTTTTTTTTTTTGGTAAGAGAAGGGCCACTGTTGAAGTAAATATGTTTCTTTTAAAGTATCTTTTGTAAGCTTGGTGAAAATTGTTGCTGGGTTGAAACTGTATGGAAAGTCACACCTGAGTACCTCTCATTATGTCTTGGTACAGCAAATGTCAACTCATTAATGATTATGTGCATGTATGTAAGACATATGTGCCCATATGCAAGGGTGATAAGATCAAGTCCTTGTCCTCTTAGAATATTTGATCTACTGTTGGGCTTAAGACCTGTGTAGAAATAACTATAATGAAAAGCAGAATTGTTAAATGCTGAAAGATTGAAAGTGGTATGAGGGTTCAAAGGAACTTGAACAAAATATTGTTAAATGCATTGTGTTTATTAACCATTTTATTAAATGAAAGGGTATTTTGTTGACTATTTACTGAGAGTCTTTAGACAGTATAGAGTTGATTAGCTTATTATTTTAAAGCCTACCCCTTAGAATAGTGTTTTTTAAGGTATGATTCGATAATCTGCATGAAAAACAGCTATTTTGTAAAATGCAGATTCTCAAACTTTGTCCAAGACTTACCAAATTAGAAAACCTGAAGGTAGGACCCAGGAATTCATTGCTATAAGCACTTCACAGGTAATATTAATGTATATTTATATATATACAAGTTATTTCAGAAGTTATCTTTATAAGTGATGATTTACATAGAATAAATGCACTCATTTTGAATATTTGAAGGGTTTTGGCAAGTATATGTACATATAACTCACTACAATCAAAAGAGAACATTCCATTACTATATAAAATTCTATTGTGTTGTTGATCTTCACCTGAAGTTCTGGGGAACAACTGATTGGTTTTCTGTCAGTATAGATTAGTGCTGTTTGTTCTAGAATTTTATATAAATGAAATCATACAGTATGTACTCTTGTGTCTGGCTTCTTCTGCTTAATATATCTCTAAGATTCAACCATATTACTGTGTGTGTGCTTTTTTATTGCTGAGTAGTATTCCATTGTACACATATGGATATACTGCAATTTTTTGATGGTTTCTAATTTTTGTCTATTATGAGTAGAATATTGTGAACATTCTGGTACAAAGCTTCCTTTGAATATATGTACATCTTATTTTATAGGCTTAGTTTTGATATCCTCTTTATTTATTACACTGTGGTATACAGGGCTGAGAAGATTAGTGGTTCTTCTTTATTTCTATGAAGAAATTTAGAAGTAAAGAAAGAAATTTATGTAATTTAAAGATTATTCTTTATTTCTGTTTCCTTATCTGTCAAATGGGAATAATCCCTGTCCTAGTTAGCACAGACTTATTTTTAGGATCAAATGAATTATAATATATGTTTAAACAGCTTGAAACTTACAGAGGTCCATACAGGTCATTGATTAGTATAGTTTAAGGCTTAGACATAATATACTTATTATAAAACCTCAAGGGAGTTGCATAATACATTAACATTAGATTTCAGCCTGAGCCCTAATTAAAGCTCCTCCTATTCTTCTCTGATTTCAGAAACGGATGGAGGAGCTTTTGTTACTGGCCAAGGAAAGCCGTTGGAGCAACCACAGTATTTGGTTTGGACACTATACAACATCCACTGTCCTTTCTCCATCACCAGGACTTCGGTCAATAATGAGGTGAGACAGGCTTCCAAAATCAAGATTGTTTTTAATTCTTTTATGTTTTCTACCTATTTTGCTTTTCTAAAGAGGTATTTTTATTAACTTGGCATCACAAGCTATCATTGTTCATTTATTTCATTTGCTTTTTATTGGTTAGTTCGGCTACAGCTTATTTGTGTGGGCATCTTCATACCCTTGGTGGACTCATGCCTGTTTTGCACACTCGTCACTTCCAGGGCACTTTGGAACTTGAGCTAGGAGACTGGAAGGATAACAGAAGGTAAGGGAACTACCCCACAAAATAAAACTTATACACGTGAGTTTTGCTAAAGCAATAATAGTTTTCTGATCACTACCATGAGTGATCCCAGTTAAGGAAAAACTTGTGATACCTCTCTGTTTTTGAAGGGAAATATGTATCTGGCAGTCTTTATCCTTATGCAGAAACCTTGTTGCAGCAGTTATGTTTGCCATTGCTGTGTTACATTGGACTTTCAAATGCATCCTCTAGGAAATAGTTTTCAAGCTGTAGTGTACACAAGCTCTTAGAGGAGCTTATGAAAAATAAAGATTACCAGGCCTTCACTCTAGAGATTTTGGCTGTGTTGGTCTGGATTAGGACACAAGAAACTACGTTTTAAAAAAAGTCTACCAGGTGCTCAAGAGAATATACTTTGAGAAATATTAAGGCTAGAAATATGTCATATCTTTCCCTAAATTTTGTACTTGCCTTTCTAGTTACTGCTGCAATATATTAGTGATTTAAGTTCTTCAAATAGATTACAGTTGGTTTTTATTAAGGTTAAAGCCTTTTAAAAATTATTATTAAGCATTTAAAAAAATTATAGTGTAGTTGATGTACACTATTGTAGAGGTTACAGGTATACAATATAGTGATTCACAGTTTTTAAAGGTTATACTCTATTATTATTACAAAATATTGGCATATTCCCTGTGTTGCACAATATCCCAGTAGCTTACTTTATATGTAATTAGTTTGTACCTTTTAACCCCTTGCTTCTTTCTTGCTCCTCCTTTCTTCCCTTTCCCCAATGGTAGCCACTCATTTATTCTCTTTAAGTCTGTTTCTTTTTCACTATATTCCCTAGCTTGTTGTAGTTTTTAGATTCCACATATAAGTGATCTTGTACAATATTTGTCTTTCTCTGTCTGATTTATTCACTTAGCATACTACCCTCCAAGTCCGTCATTGTTACAAATAGCAAAATTCCATTCTTTTTTATGGCTGAGTATTATTCCACTGTATATCTACCATATCTTTATCCATTTTTATGTTGATGGACACTTAGGTTGCTTCTGTATCTTGGCAGTTGTAAATAATTCTGCCATGAACATTGGGGTGCATGTATCTTTTCAAATTGGATATGTACCCAGGAGTGGACGTGCAGGATCATATGGTAGTTCTAGGGTTAAAGTGTTTTGAAGAGAAAATATAACATTTATCAAAAGCATATAGTATAGTTGAATATATATTTATTGAGAAGAATGCAGTATATATTTGATAATAACTACTTAAGTGCAACTATAAGTATAAATAACTACCATCTCATTGTTTTATATCAATTGCTATTTAACTTTGTTAAACCCAGTGCTATGAAGATATTAGATACTCAGTAAATATTTGTTGAGCTGAATGTTATGTTGCTATTTTTAACTACAGTTGACCTTTAAACAACACAGTCTGAATTGTGCAGGTCCCATCACTTCATGGGAAATAGATGGGGAGACAGTGGAAACAGTGTCAGACTTTATTTTTTTGGGCTCCAAAATCACTGTAGATGGTGATTGCAGCCATGAAATTAAAAGACGGTTACTCCTTGGAAGGAAAGTTATGACCAACCTAGATAGCATATTAAAAAGCAGAGACATTACTTTGCCAACAAAGGTCCTTCTAGTCAAGGCTATGGTTTTTCCAGTGGTCATGTATGGATGTGAGAGTTGGACTGTAAAGAAAGCTGAGCACTGAAGAATTGATGCTTTTGAACTGTGGAGTTAGAGAAGACTCTTGAGAGTCTCTTGGACTGTAGGGAGATCCAACCAGTCCATCCTAAAGGAGATCAGTCCTGGGTGTTCATTGGAGGGACTGATGCTGAAACTGAAACTTCAATACTTTGGCCACCTCATGTGAAGAGTTGACTCATTGGAAAAGACCCTGATGCTGGGAGGGATTGGGGTCAGGAGGAGAAGGGGACAACAGAGGATAAGATGGCTGGATGGCATCACTGACTTGATGGACATGGTTTGAGTAAACTCCAGGAGTTGGTGATGGACAGGGAGGCCTGGCATGCTGCGATTCATGGGGTCGCAAAGAGTCGGACACGACTGAGTGACTGAACTGAACTGAACTGAACGTATACTCAGATTTTTTTCACAAAGTACTTACTACAGTACCTCACAATCCGCGGTTAGTTGAGTCCATGGAAGCAGAGCCAAGGTTATGGCGTCTGACTGGGAAGTCCTACTCAGCTTTTCGACTGCTTGAGGGCTGGTGCCCCGGCCCCCGCATTGTTCAAGGGTCAGCTGTACTTCTGTTGGGCTTCCCTCGTGGCTCAGCTGGTAAAGAAACCGCCTGCAATGCGGGAGACCTGGGTTCGATCCCTGGCTTGGGAAGATTCCCTGGAGAAGGGAAAGGCTACCCACTCCAGTATTCCTGCCTGGAGAATTCCATGAACTGTGTAGTCTATGGGGTCGCAAAGAGTCGGACATGACTGAGCGACTTTCACTTCACTGTTAATCAAAAAGCAGTTTTATATCTTGGAAAGTACTTATTCATTTCAGTTGGCATTTCTAGAAACTGTGTAAGAGTTAAGCTTGAAGCCTCTAATTAGTTGGCAGCTATAATTACTTTGAACTAGGACCTGCCTGTTCACGATGTGAGGCTGTGGGCTGGACTAGAATTGCTTTTTACAAGGTAGCCTTCCTAAACCTTGTTCAACTTCTTGATTTCTTATATATGCTACAGTTACAAGTTAAGTCATGTTAATTATGAAACCATTTCCTTTCTTTCACTTCCCACCTGCTCTCCTGTGTTCCACCCTAGGGTTTTATCTAGAGTTTGTCTTACTGAAAGAAACTAACCTTTATCTGCCCTTATAAATATTTAAATTTTATTATGTATTGTTTAGTCGATCAGTCGTATCCTACTCTTTGTGACCCTGTAGACTGCAGCACGCCAGGCTTCCCTGTCTTTCACCATCTCCTGGAACTTGCTCAAATTCATGTCTATTGACTCAGTGATGCCATCCAGCCGTCTTGCCCTAATATTATGTATTAGCACAATAGAAGAGTTTTTTAAAAAATTTTTTTCCAGCTTCACTGTGTTGCCTGTGGGATCTTAGTTTCCCAGCCAGGGACTGAACCTCCTCTCTCAGCAAAAAAAAGTGCAGAGTCTTAGCCATTGGACTGCTAGGAAATTCCCTAGAAGAGTTTTTAAAAAGTTAGTATATTAATAATAATAGACTAGGCTTTGTTGTGTATGGAAATAAATCTAGAAATATCAGTGGCTTAACCCAACAGATGTTTAGTTTTTAATTTTTTTTTCATTTTTGTAAACTCTTACTGGGAGTATGACTCATAGTATGAGGCAAGGAAACTCGCAGCCACAGGGTAACTCTGGGATTCAGACTTCCTCCATCTTATTATGTGACTATTTCAACACCTCAATTCCAGGGCAGGGAAGAGAGCATGGAGAACTCATACCCACTCTTAAGTACTTTGGACCAGAAGTGTGATATATGTCACTTCTGTTCACAGCCCATTGGCCAGAACTAGTCACATGGTCCCAACCTAATACCAGGGAGACTGGGAAATGCAGGGGAGCACGTGGAATATTTGGTGAGCACTATTGTTTCTGCCATAGCTAATCATTTTTCTCCTCAGTTTTAAAAGTTAGAAAATACAAAACTCTGCTTACTCTTTAATGAATAATACCTTTCAACGTGCATTTAGAAAATAAAAACTTTTGCTATTTTCTTTGAAATTATAGAAATAAACGTTTTAAAGAAGAATTAAAAGTTTCTAATTGTGCTCATTTTAATATTTTATGTAGCATTGTTGATAGGATAAAGAATGTTAGATGTTAGGCTTATGATGAATATTTTAGGTTCAAAATAGTCTTAAAGTATAGAAATCAAATGATTTAATTCAATAAACATTTATTTAAAAATTAAGAGTACATGCTAGACACCAGGCATGATTTTAGGACACAGTGAAAATTCATTGTTTCAGTCAGATCCCAGTTGTTGTGACAAATGTCACAAATGACAAAATGTAAAAGCGAAAGGTACAAGGAAAGAAAGAGGAACAATATTATTTACTCTGCATTCCAATAAATAATCTCAGAAAGTATAATTTTATATTTTTACCTTTGTTCTGTTTTTATCCTTCAGTCCCTCTTAAAATATGAAATGACTAAATTACCTCATTGTTCTCTGGTCTCTAGGTACCGGATCTTTGCTTTTGATCATGACCTCTTTAGCTTTGCAGATTTGATCTTTGGTGAGTGGCCTGTGGTTCTTATCACTAATCCTAAGTCACTCCTGTATAGTTCTGCTAAACATGAACCACTAGAAAGACTCCTTCACTCAACACACATCAGGTATGTAGCAATTTTTCAGAATTTACTTTTAGTTTTAAGTTATTGATAGAGAATAAGTCATTGTGATTACATTCTCATGTGAAAGCTATGAGATGCCCCACTTTAGTTTTATCAACAATCTAAACATTATATACATAGCCTACTGTTTCATTCCCATTCAGTTAAAAAATACATAGTTTTTAAGCTGCTGAAATTAGAAAAAAATTTAGAAACCCACAATCCTGCCATTATTGTTTCTTTTATTCCAGCTTCTGTATATGCATGTTTTTACATTGCCATAATCATAATGTATCTATTTTAACACATTTATATTAACACATTTTAACACATTTATATCATATATCAGAAATATATATTTAAAAATTTTTCTACATAGCCTTTCAAAAAAGCAAAAGCTATAGAAACCTTACGGAATTGAAAATTCATTTGGCATATGAATTTGGCAGTATATGTCAATGGAATCTTTTTTCTTTTTTAATTTTTTCTGGCTCTGCTGTGCAGCATGGGGGATCCTGGTTCCCCAACCAGGGATTGAACCTATGTTGCTTGCAGTGAAAGCATGGAGTCTTAACCACTGTATGTCCAGGGATGTCCCAACTTATTATCTTTTTTCCAACTTATTTTTTATTGAAGTATAGTTGAATTACAATGTTGTGTCAATTACTTCTGTAGAGCAAAGTGATTCAGTCATACATTTATATACATTCTTTTTCATTTTCTTTTCTATTATGGTTTATCACAAGATATTGAATATAGTTTCCTGTGCTATCCAGTAGGACCTTGTTGTTTCTCTAGTCTATATATACCAGTCCAACCCTCTCCCACTCCCCTCCCCCTTGGCATTCTATCTCTATGTCCCTGATTCTGTTTCTATTTCATAGATGGGTTCATTTGTGTCATGTTTTAGATTCCACGTATAAGTGATATCATAGAGTATTTGTCCTTCTCTTTCTGACTTACTTCACTTACTATGATAATCTCTAGTTGCATCCATGTTCCTGAAAATGGCATTATTTTGTTCTTTTTTGTGGCTGGGTAGTATTAAATAGAATCTTAATGAAACATTACTGTTCCTTTTGGAGAGAGACTTATAACTTTTTGCAAATGTAAGGGCACTTGTTTTAATATACTTTTTAAAATTTTATTTTGAAAAGTAGCACGACATAACTTTTGGAAAATAGGGTAATGGGATTATATGTGTATTCCTGTCCCATCCCCCATCCCCTAGTAGAACTGCTGTTAACATGAGTTTTCTTTTTCAGGCATTCTCTTTCAGGCATGTATTTACATAGTCATAATCATAGGGTACAGTGTATTCTAATTCCTACCTTTTTTCTGTCAACAGAGAGAATGGATCATAGTATATATGACTATTTTCCTATCTTCTTGGTGAACTTTTAGATTTTCTTCTAATTTGAGGATGAATATCTGATGCATATAGATTCTTCCTTCATTTGAATGATTGCTTTAGATAGAGTTCTTGAAATGGGATTCTAGCTGAAATAGTTTGAATTCCTTTGTGACTGTTGATAAAGGTTTTCTAACTACTTTATTTTTTTGCAACTAAAATAATTATTCTTTTTTAAAAAAATTTTGGTAAAATATACATAAAATTTACCATGTTAACCATTTTTAGTGTACAGTACTTTCATATTGTTATACAGCCATCACCACCATTTGTTTTATCTTTCAGAACTGTAACTTTGTACCCATTCAACACTAACTCCCTATTCTCCCTCCCCCCAGCCCCCAGCAACCATTATTCTACTTTCCGTCTCTATGGGTCTGACTACTTTAGGTGCCTCATATAGGAGAATCACCTGTCTGTCCTTTGGTGACTGGTTTCTTTCATTTAGTGTAATGTCTTCACCCATTTTTTTGGTACAGATTTATTTGTTTGTTTTTGGTTGCATTGGGTCTTCATTGCTGCACGGGCTTTCTCTAGTTGCAGTGAGCTAGGGCTACTTTCTCGTTGGTGATGTGCAGGTTTCTCATTACAGTGGCTTCTCTTGTTGTGGAGCACAAGCTCTAGATGCACAGGCTTCAGTAGTTATGGCTTACAAGGTCTAGAGCATGGGCTTAGTAGTTGTGTACAGGCTCAGTTGCTCTGAGGCATGAGGAATGTTCCCAGACCAGGGATTGAACCCATGTCCCCTGCATTGGGAGGCAGATTCTTATCCACTGTGCCACCAAGGAATTCTGTCTTCACCAATTGTGATGCATGTATCAGAATCTTCTTCCTTTTTAAGGCTGAATATTATTTCATTGCACGTATATACCATATTTTGTTTATCCATTCATCTGTTGAGGTGGCTTAGTTGGCAAAGAGTCTGCCAGCAATGCGGGAGACCTAGGTTCGATCCCTGGATCGGGAAGATCCCCTGGAGAAGGAAATGGCAACCCACTCCAGTATTCTTGCCCAGAGAGTCCCAAGGACAGAGGGGCCTGGTGGGCTATAGCCCATGGGGTTGCGAAAGAGTTGGACATGACTGAGTGACTAAACCTACCAACCTATTCATTTGTTGATAGACACTTTTGCTTCCACCTTTTCACTATTGTGAATAATGCTATGAACATGTGTATAAATATATGTGTTCCAGTCACTGCTTTCAGTTCTTTTGGGTGTATATTCAGAAGTGGAATTGCTGGATCATATGGTAATTCTATGTCTAATTTTTTGAGAAACTGCCATACTGTTTTCCATAGTGGCTCTGTCATTTCACATTCTCACCACCAGTGTACAAGGAACCTGATTATTTTTTAAAGCAGGTACTAATTTATAATGTTACTGAGAAATAGTAGTGCAAATATCATAGAACTCTTATCATTATTGGATACTGTACTTTTAAAAATATTTCCTCATTATTCTGGAAAAAAGGGTACCAAGCTGTTTTAATTTATTTCTTTTGATTACTAGGTAAGTGGAACATATATCTCTCGGTTATGTTTCTTGATAGGAGCTGGATATCAGATTAAGATTTAGAATAGTTTCTAATTTCTCACCTTTTCAGGTTTGCTGAATTTTACAACTCCAGAAGCCACCGTTTAAAAAGAATTCAGATCATATGAATAGTGTCGTATGAACAGTTGCAGAGTGTAATGGTCTATTTTACAGTTGCCCTTCGGTATCTCTGGGAGATTGGTTCCAGGATCCCCTGAAAATACCAGAGTCTTCAGATGCTCAAGTCTCTTATGTAATGTGGTGTAGTATTTGCCTATAACCTATACTTCAAATCTTACCTAGATTACCTGTGGGCTTTTCTGGTGGCTCAGTGGTAAAGAATCTGCCTGCAATGCTGGAGATGCGTGTTCGATCCTTGGGTTGGGAAGATCAGTTGGAGAAGGAAATGGCAACCCACTCCAGTACTCTTGCCTGGGAAATCCCATGGACAGAGGATCTGCTGGGCTATATTCCATGGGGTTGCAAAAGAGTTGGATACAACTTAGTGACTGAATAACAACAAATTACTTAATACCTAATACAATTTAACTTCTGTGTAAATAGTTGCTGGTGCATGGCAAATACAAGTTTTGCGAAATTTTTCTTTTTTGAATATTTTCAATCCATGGTTGGTTGAATCCACAGGTTCCACATCTCAGGAACCTGAAGATAACTGATGGAAGGTTTACTGTACTCACAGCTTTTCAGGTTATAACAGGGTTATTCTTCTTTATAGAAACAATGGCAAATACCTAAAACCATGCATTTTATGCTTTCATTTTAGAGTCTTGGCCTTTTCCTTATCCTCCATTACTTCAGTTGCAGTTAAGATTGATGGAGTTCATTTAGGGCAAGCTAGTCATTTGTCTGGTCCTATTTTCATACTAAAGTGGAACCCAAGAAACTACAGTAATAAGACACATAACATAGAAGTAATCGTTCAGGTAAGTTAGTAATTTTCAACTCGGTATGTAAATGATTAGTAACCACATTGAACTTTGATTTATTTTTTTTTTGTCAGTTGATTAAGATGAAACTAAGTAAAAAATTTTGAATACACTGGATTTAATATGTTCTGAACATAGACACTCAGGAGAAATTCTGCTGTTAGACTGAACATTGGGCAGAGAACATGAGTGTGCAACTACCAACTCCAGTTCCTTCTTTTTTATCCCCAGGGAATCATTCTTTTGCTTTCTTCCAACTTTGGCCAGAACTTCCCCAATATACATAAAGATAATAGAATAAGTCAGAAAACATGTATTTATGTGTCCACACCTTTGATTGCTGTCTCCAAGTATAGGAAAATTGTGTTTACAATTTTGAAAGCCTAGGATAGAGAATTTTCAAGGCATCAAAGAGATTTTTTGTTTGCGGAGTGGGCGCTGAAAGTGTATGCAGTGACTGCCTGCCTATCCCTTTTCTGATTCAGCTTGTGGGGCATTTAATTCAGCAGACCTGCCAGAGTAGAAAGTGATCATCATTACCAAAATAGAACAGTTTTATCAATACACTGAAACACGTTAGGTGATAGACTGTGCTAAAAAATTAGTTTCTGGAAAAAAAGCCTGTCAATCTTTACCACACTATGGTTTGATGACAGTTTTAAGCTAATCTTTTAATGTTAAGTCTTAGTTTGAAGGTTACCAAGTAATCCTTCAGAAAACACATGTAATTATTGTCATCTTTTTAAAATGTGTGTCACAGAGAAGGATTTTGAGCAGGAAGGAGCTATTTACTGAGCTTCTTCTAAGGAGATGCCAGATGCTTAGAATTTTTTTTTTTTTTTTTTACTAAATCCATGTAACAATCTTCCATGATTTAAATTTTATCCCCAGTTCATAGATGAGGAAACAGGAGAAGGCACTTTGCAGTGCCACGCATCTGCTTAGAAGGAAGAAGAAACTCATGGGTAGGATGTGGAAGGAGGGATGCTCTCCTTAATGTCTTTCATATTAGAAGTTGGCTTATTTTAAAACAACTTGAAGATATAAGTACATGTAGAATAAATTGTTCCCTATCTTTACAGTCACGGGGAAGAAGTGAGAGCAACCATAGGAGACCTGCTCCTTGTAGGAAGGTGGAACACCCAAATCTTTGGATTGCTTGTTTTATAAGGAAGAAACCATAGTTCACATTCCTCAAAACATTTCTGCCTGCTTAGTTGAATACTTAGTAAAAATGTGAAATAACATATATTTTTATATGTTTCATATTTCTTACATTTTTGAGATGTAATTTATATTTAAAACCCCATATATTTAAGAGTACAGTTTGGTGAGTTTTGACTTTCTTACACATCCTTGAAACCATTACTACAAAAATCAATACCATCTGTCTCCCTCAATAGTCTTCTTATACCCTTTTGCAACTGCTTTCCTTCCAGCCCCATTTAAGGCAACCACTGATCTGTTTTCTGTCTACATGAATATAATTCCAAGAAATTAGTCTACTGTATACTAAAATAGGGAACCTAGTCCCCTTATTCATCAATGAGAAAATTGTGTCCTTTTAAATATAGTTTGCCATAGATAAATCTGAGAGAAAAATTCATGGAAGAAGACACTGATTTATTTTATCTATGCATGATTTATTGATATCTGTACATTTCCAGGCAACTTAGTACCAACTAGACCTTTCAATCAGTTCTCAGTGTGGTTCCTGAAGTAGTAGCATCGCCATCACCTGGAAACTCATTAGAATTCCCATCCCAAACCTATGAATCAGAAACTCTGGAGATGGAAGCTAACCCTATGTTTTGATAATCCCTCCAGGTGATTCTGATGTGCACTAAAGTTTGAGAACCAGAATGTAAGATTATTGTGCCTGCTCTGCCAATTTAAAGAGTAAACTCTAGAAATCTCTATATCTCAAAGAGAATCTCTGCATTAAAATAAGAACTTTAAAAAAAACCCAAGAATATGTAATTCAGAGTAAGAACATTTGAGAAATAAAAGTTTGATAAACACCAGTGCAAGTTTTTTTTTTGCTATTTTAAAGCTTTTCATGATACGGAATTTTTAAAATAAATGAAAGAGATAATACTATAATGAATTCCCAAGTTTAATGAATCGCCCAACTTTAAAGATTATCAACTCATGAACAGTCTTGTTTCATCTATACCCATCTACTTCTCCCTGTATCACAATGTTATTTCATCTGTGTAAATATTAATATGACAGTATGTATCACTAAAAGATAACTATTTAAAAAAAGTAATGATAATACCATATCACACCTGAAAAATTAACACTTACACCTTAATTTCAAACTGTCCAGCTAATGTTCCAGTTTTCCCATTTTGTCATTTATATTGCATTTGGTTGGTTCATCTCAGAATTCAGGCAAGGCTCAAATATTGCATTTAGCTGATCTGTCTTTTCAGTTTCTTAATCTATAGGTTCCCTTTCCATCCTCCTCCTTTTTTCCCCCCTTGCAATTTGTTTGCTTTGGAAACTGGACCTTTTATCCTGTAGTGTTTCTGTATTCTGGATTTTTGGTGTTTGTATCCATGTGGTATTATGTAGTATGATTTTCCACCCCCTCTAGTTTCTGTAACTGGTAGTTAGATTTTAAGGTTTGATCATATTTGAGTCTCTGTTTTTTGGCAGGAATACTTCCTTTGGTGTTTTATGCTTTTATCAGAAGCCTATAATATCTGGTTGTCTCTCTTTTAAAAATATTAAAGTTGATCACTGTATGTAGATATTGTTGACCCTACACAGTGGTGTGCTGGTAACTGTTTAACCACTAACTTGGGGCATGTTTGAAGGGAGGAACTTGATTTATACCAATTTCCATACTATAAATATTCCTCCTGTAGCTGGTTTTAAGCTACATTAGCTGGTCTGCAAAGTTCCTGAACATGTAGCAATTGGCCCTTGTCAGACAAGCCAGTGCCAGCACAATGCTGGCGTATCCTCCGTTCATTATGAAGTATACCCAACCAGCTTTTCACTGTGGGAATTCTAGCATATACTGATAGTCTGAGACTAAATACCTTATTTCATTGGAGTTATAAACTGGTGATATTCAAATTGCCACTCTTAATTATATGAGTATTAATTAGAAGAGTCCCAGAAAGAAAAAATCTGCCTCACCTATTTGATACCCAGATACAGAGTTCATACAGGAAAGGCAGGATAAAGTCTTCATTCATCCTCCACCTTCCCTTTTCTAAACCTGTTTTCAGAATAATGAGTTCTCTACCATCTGCTAAAGGTAACCAAATGAGTCTTTTAGTATCATTATGAATTCATAGTTTAAAAAAAATGGTATGTTTCACTCCATTGCATTTATTCTTTTTGATGCTCAATTGTCCCGTCTTTGGCTAGTAGGAGCCTCTCTAAGTTGGGCACTAAGTCCTCTGATACAATCCTAATAGTCCTTGTTAAGTTTTCTTGCTTTCTGGTACAAAGATGTTCCACGCCCTTGTGCATTTCTTACTCAAGAATTGGCATCAGCTGTTTCTCTAAAGAGCATTGGTTTCTTGTAGTGGGGAATTTTATTTTGAGACCAAAATCTGAGCACTAGCTCAGCTAGCTCATTACTGTTTTTAGGTCTTTTCAATAAACAAAGGGAAATACAGATTTTTTTTTTTAAAGATTACTTTGTGATACACACTGATATTTCCAATTCAAATCTGGAATTACAAACTTTAAAAGAAGTTTTATTTAAAATGCTCATATGTTCACCTGAAACTACCACAACATTGTTAATTAGCTATACCCCAGTACAAAAGAAAAAGTTTAAAGTTTAAAAAAAAAAAGTTAAAAAAAAATAAAGTACGAAGATACTCTGAAAAAAAAAAACAAGTTCTCATAGGAAGACTCAAAAATAAGTGAAAAAAGGTGTCACTTATTCTGAGATAACTGACGAAAATGATTGGAAACTTAATATTGGAACATTGTACATATTTGTACATGAGGGTTGCTTCCCTATTGTGCTTATTACTAGGATTCTGCTGGAAGAAGTAAGAGTGTTCACCACATATTTTCAGCTCGAGAGGATATTCATCTCAGATTTGATCTCCTGGCATCATTTATTCTCCTTACTGACCATTGTACTGTGGTGAGTAAATTCAACTTAGTATTATACATGTTTTTACTAGATTTGGGAGGTCTAATGTCATAAATAATATATTCATGTAATGAGAAAGCAGAACTTTATCAAATTAAAAGTTTAGTTGTTTGTTTAAAAGAATACAATGACTTTAAATTGATTTGAATTAAAAGAAGAGGAGACATGGACATGTAGTACCTGTTCTGGAACCTGGTTCTAAGTAATGACATAAAACAAGGATAACTAAGGGAATTATAGGAACTGTGCTAAATTAGGATATTTCAAAAATAATATTTCTTCCTACATAAATAATACATGCTTAATATAGAAAAATTAGAAAATTTAGAAATAAAGTATAATGAACCCCACATCATTCTTTTATCACACTAACCATTATAACCATTGTATTTCTCATTATAATACTATTTGTTTATTTTTCTCTTGTTTACATTTGGATATAAGTTTTACTATAAAATGGTAATATACTTTTCATTCTCTTTTTCCATTTGATGTTTTCTACTGAGAAATTTGTTTTGATGATTTTCTTACATCAAATTTGTTTTATAAATGATGCTTATTGGCTGCATTATATTGTCATAGATATACCTTAATTTATTTGACCATTTCCCCTATTGTTGAGCATTTGTTTACAATTTTTCCCTCTACTGTAAAAATATTGCTTGTTTCTGCAGTTAATAGTTTTTTTGGAAATTTCTGGAAATGAATTGTTGGATCAAAGAATGGACACATTCTACATGCTTCATTTATTTATTATATAATTTATATAGTTATACAGATTTTAGAATTATTTATTATATTCATTGTTTTTGGTTTGTTCTCCCTCATGAAAAGATAAGCCCCATGAGAGCAAGAATGTCTTTTTGGTATGCCTAACACAAGTAGACCCTCAAATAAGTATTTCTTGAATGAATAAATATATTTTTTTGTTTTTTTTTAGTTTTTAATATACACTGTCAAACTGTCTTTCAGAGAAGCTTTGGCAATTTACAGTCTAGTTTCCTCAGATCTCCCTCTCCTGGGTATTAACATAAAATGCACTACAATGTTGAGAAGAAAATTTAAACCCCCTTCATTCACCTTCCAAAGATAGCTTAATATCCTCTTATATCTTCACAGACTTAATGTGCATTACTTATTATTTTAATTTACTTTTATTACTTGTGTGATTGAACATTAAAAAAATATGCCTAATGGACATATGCATCTTATTTTTACAAATCATTTATTTTTCTTTTGGGGATTTTTAATAGTCACCTAGATCAGGTTTTGAAAACTTTGGTGTACTTATGAATCACCTGGAAATGTGAATAAGACGCTGATTCTGATTAGTAGAGTTGAAATGGGGCCTGAGATTCTGCATTCCTAAGAGGCTCAAGGTGATTCCAGAGATGACCTGGGGCTCATACTTGGAGAACAAGAACCTAGATTACATGTCTCTTTACTATGAATTAATCTTCAAGTGAGTGATTTCCTGGTGGAGAAAGCATAAGGAAATGCAGTCTCTGTTCATTCAGCTTGTAGTGAACTGCATACTGGGTGTTTTTTTTTTTCTTTCCATTTTTATACTTTTTAAAAAAGCTTTTTATTTATATTGGAGTATAGTTGATTAACAGTGTTGTGATAGTTTCAGGTATACAGCAAAGTGATTCAGTTATACATTTACATGTATCTATTTTTCAAATTCTTTTTCCATTTAGGTTGTTACATAATATTGAGCAGAGTTCCCTGTGCTATACAGTACGTCTTTGTTGATTATCCACTTTAAATATAGCAGTATGTACATGTCCATCCCCAACTACCTAACTATCCCTTCCCCCCTTCTGCCCTCCCCCTGTAACTGTAAGTTTGTAACACTCTTATAAGACTTTAAATAAAACAGTACAAATTATACTTAACCTAGTACACTGAAAGTGGACTATTTTAATTTGATTTTATGTAACTATATGAAATTATTTAGTTTCAATGTTGGTCCAGGTATCCAAATCTTAAAAGACAAATGCTGAGGCAACTTATAATTATCTTCTTTGCTGCATCAGATTTTCAAGTCTCTTTGACTGTATATTTTTCTATATAATCACTTGTCCTAATGATGTAATTTTCATTTGTGTTAATGGGGCTGTTTATAAAAACTGAAGCTGTATCCATATGTCTGTTTCACATTAATTTGTCTTTGTCTGCAGGCCCGGGTCATATTTGTGATGATTGTGCTGATGCAGCTCATCGTTCTCATTATTTTTCGGTATCAAGCATATACAGAGCATAAAGGTTAGTCACCATGGGTTCCTTTTATTCTTAGAAGACCTTACTTTCGTGCATCCCATAATCTCCTGACTAAGTAAATATCAGTGCAGACTGTCTTTCCTGAACTCTGTGAGGTTCATCCTTCAAACTATCGTGCTCACTTCAAACCCCCTTTTCCGCACCATATTCTCCAACCATTCCAGGTCATAATGAACTTTTGTGTCTCTGAATCCCAAGAGTCCTTCCTAAGGATTAATTCTGTATTTAACCAGTCAGTCACCTTGTTTACATCACAACTTCAAATGTATGTATTTTCTCCTCAATCAGACTTAAGTTCCTCAATATAGGAGCTCTTGTTTAGTACTTCTTTTCTGTTTTCTTTTGATTTCTTCTATGATTTGTACTTTTCTGTTTTCTATAGCACCCAGCACTGAGTTCGTGCATTACAGACAATAAATATTGATACTTGTTGAAATAAATGTTCCATTCCTTCCTGACTTGGATGAAATCCCAGGAACTGACTGTGGGGAAGGGGAGGACTGTAGTAAAGTTTAAACTGTAAGATGATTAACTGCATAGGTAGTATACATATCCTACTGAATGTTTTCCTGCTTATATATATTTTAAAAAATTCTGTGAAAAAGTTCAAAAAGCATTATTGCACAAAATATAAACAAATAAACAATTGAGGGAGGCCTCAGCCTCATGTGGGACTACCAGTATTTTTGTATAGTTATTTAACATTCATAACGTATTTTTACTTATATCATCTTACTTAATCTTACAACAATCCTGTGAGGTAGGTATTATTGTCTCCCATTTAAAGACTAGAAAACTGAGGACTGCAGAGTTAATGTCGGTTATCTAGTGTCTTATAGCCAATAAGAGTCTGACTCCAGGTCAGTTCTTTTCTGTAAACAACACTTCTCAATCTGACTACACCTTAGAACGCCTTGGGGAACTTTTAAAATCTCAGTGTCTACACAGAACTTTCAGTGCTTACACAGAATAATGTAGGACCTAAGCATCAGTATTTTTTTTAAAGCTCCTCAGATGATTCCAGTGTGTGGTAGGGCTGAGAAGCACGGCACTGTCCAAAGCAGTATCTTTCAGTCCTGCTGCCTAGAATCCCCTGGGTTGCTGCCTCAACTCCCCTGTTTCCCAGGCCAACTAAATCAGAATCTCTGGAGAGTGAGACTTGGGCACGAGTATTTTCTAAAAGTTCCCCCAGGTTATTCTAATGTACGGCCAAAGTAGAGAATCATTGCTTAAAATTTATAGTGTAGCTGCCTCTAAGGCTAAAGAATGATATATTTAAAATAAATAAATAATGATAATGAATGGGTAAGTAGATCAATACTTTGAGAAGTACCAGACTAGAATGAGAGATGAATGAGGAGTAGTTCCCTGTGCTATATAGTTGTTGTTTTTCAGTCACTCACTCATGTCCGACTCTTTGTGACCCTATGGATTGTAGCACGCCAGGCTTCCCTCTCCATCACCAACTCCTGGAGCTTGCTCAAGCTCATGTCCATTGAGTCAGTGATGCCATCCAACCATCTCATCCTCTGTTGTCCCCTTCTCCTCCTGCCTTCAATCTTTCCCAGTATCAGGATCTTTTCCAGTGAGTCGACTCTTCCCAATTTGGAACCAAAACTGCTATACAGTAGATCCTTGTTGATTATCTGTCTTAAACATAGTGTGTTGGAATAGGAAATGGCAATCCAGTCTGGTGTTCTGGCCTTGAAAATTCCATGGATGGAAGAGCCTGGTGGGCTGCAGTCTGTGGGGTCGCAAAGAGTCAGACATGGCTGAGCACGCACGCATGCACACATTTAGGTTGCTTCCATGTCTTAGCTATTGTAAATAGTGCTGCAGTGCACCCAGAACACTGGGTGACCTTTGACATACTTTGATATAACTTTTGGAAGTTTGTACATTCGGATACTAAGTCTCATGGAAAACAAAGACTTGATCACTTTTTGAGCATAGAATATTTGTGTGTGTGTGTGTGTACGTGTCTTGCAACTACACCATTGCTTTGAACTTCCTACCCTCTGTAATTCTAAGTGAAATGGCTTACCAGCATTCCTGCCAACTTCTGATTTAAAGTAATGTCATCCATATTACAAAGGATTTGCTGAAGATGTAGTAGATAGCCATTGGAAGTCTTCTAGAAAATATTTTAAAGAACCTCAACTTTGAATGTGTTTACTGGAGTTTTCCAATTTATTCTGTTTAGGACCCCTGGGATTTATAAATTTGATGTCATTTTCCCTTCATGTCTTGAGCAAACTGAATATCTCCTACTATTCTGTGTTGTTGCTGACCCTGTATACAGTGTTGGGTAAGTCATTGAGGAAACCTGAGATTGTGGAGAATTCTGTCAAAGAATGTATTGAGAATTTTAACATTAGCCATTTAGGTTCTGGAGAGCACAGTGACTGGCACGTGGCCTCTTCCTTTCCTGGGGCATGAGCTTGGGGGATACAGTCTTTTCCTAACTTAAAGGACATTTAATCAACACTGGGTTAACTTAAGGGTGCTGAGAGGACCATGACGATTAGTGTTTGTGTAGAACCTTAATAGAAGATAGAAGTTCAGCTTAAATGTCATCTCCTCAGAGCAACCTTTGATCACGTTAAAGCTTTGTCCTCTATTTCACCACATTTTATTTCTCTCATTACTTTGTCAGAATTTATGATTACCTTCTGTGTATGTGGTCTCTCCCCTCATTAGACTATGGATTGATGTCTTATCTATGCTCTCTATGCTCAGCAGTAAGCACAATGCCTAGTATGTCGTTGAATGACTCTTCACTACCATGTGACTCCTGAAAACTCAGCTCAAAAGAGAGAGAAAGAGATAAGCAGTGAGTTCAGGCATCTGAGCTCTTCTCATATTAATTATTATACTCAATACTGACAAAATCACTTTTAGTCATTTATGGAAACAGAAAGCCCTGTGAGTTTCTTTTTAAAGCTTTTTATGGATGTTCCTTACTAAGAGTCATTTAGGAGTTAATATATCTTTAGTCTATATTTTATACTTTTAGTCTATCTTTGGACTTTTATTTCCTCATTAGTTACTCCCACCAGAGAACAGAAAGTAGTTAAATAAAAATATGACTCTTTACAATTTTGTATAACAAGCTATGGCAGATTCCCCTTTAGAGGTTGGTTTCCTTGTTAGAAGATGGGTTGAGGCTGTTTCAGACACTTGTTTTCCACTAGGACCAAAGCAAGTGATTTGCTTCCTGACTGTAAAGGGAAACATTAGGAGAAGTTGTTCCATTTTTAAAGGTTGAAACTTAAACTAAGATGTATCTAATGGAGTATATATAATATATATCTGAGAAAATTGCCTGTGACTTTTTAAAGTTGAACTCTACTCTTACCAGCAAATGTTAGTATTGCATTTTGAGAAAGGAAATCTGACTGTCCCTTAATCACTCTTGACAATATAGTAGTTCCAGAAGCCTGCACATTGAGAAGGAGCAGTAAATACTAACAGAGAGTAGAGAAAAGTCATTCTGGCATTGCAGATGAAAAATTAAAATAAAGAAGTGAGTTAAGCTATGAACATGTTAACCCTGAGTATGTAGTTGATGTACAAAGTAAGGATTGTGGGGCAGAAAGAAAAGGTTAAAATGCATTCATTAATATTAATAAGAAAGATAAGAAGTACCTTTAAGAATGATTAAAGTGGTTGAAGTCTTATTGCTTAAAGGAGTAAATTTCAGTTATCTGGAAAATTAAGTATGGTGTCTATGGAGTACCTCTTTGCTTCTTAAAGGAAAGTTAATGCATTACTGCAATAGAATCTTCTAAAATTTGTGAATGTACTCCAGTCTGTTTCTGGAATCTATTCCAGATATAGCACTTAGGCAGTTTTATAATCTAGAGAAATAGGGTGCGAAAGAGCAAATAATTGGTTACCTGGGATATTGGGTACAACACAGAGATTAACAGAGAAGAAAAGCTATGCAAATAAATGCTTATAGATGACTAGTCTCATATTTCTTCATTAGTCCTAAAATGTATCTCGTGTGTGTAATCAGAGTCATATAAGTTCCTTTCCTGTCCATTGCCCCTTTCAGGCCCATGGTTTGTTGGTGAAATCATTAAAGGCAAATTGGGCTGCTGCTTTTCCTTTGGAATCTTTGTTGATGGACATTTCCTACAAGGCAGTATAACATTTATAGTTGGAATTCTCCAGGTAAGAATTCAGAAATGCAATTTAAGAACATCTTGGTCTTGCTGGATTAATTGCATAACAATTATAAATTAAATCCAAAATCCCAAATTAAATACCACAGATCATGTGTCCTAACTTACCGGCAGGGCAGTCTTTAGTATTTGGTGTTTATTTGTTTTTATAGTGCTTTCCAAACTCTTTCTTCCACCACTCTTGTAAGCATCTAAAATAAATTTTGGCAGGAAGGTTTATAAGAGGTAAGAGAAGTTTTGGTTGGTTAGTTGTTTCACTGTGCTTTTTCATCTACAAACAGTGAAAGAAGAGACTTATGGTAGAATAAATGATAGACTTCTGGGTAAACCAAAATTGGTTATGATAATGAAGAAGGAAACTATTTCAGAGGGAGGAAAGAGAAAATAGACACATAAGAAAAGTGGATCAGTTACCTAGTGGAAGCTTTCTAGCTATGTCTTAGCAGTTCACTTGTTTATGAAAGCACTGGTACATTAGGTTTGCATTTGGATTGAGATTTCTTTAGAACAAACACAAATAAAAAAACCCAGACCTGTAGCAAATCTCTGTAAACAGGTTTGAAAACTGTTTACCTAACAATTTATTTATTGATTGTTCTCACCTAATGGGGCTAATGGATCACAATCTGAGGTGACGATCTGAAGTTTTGTAAGAGATCCAAAAACATTGTTCAAAATGAGTTCACAGCCTCATAAGAGGACAGTAAAGCATGATCTGCAGGGTTAGAGACAGACAAGTAGGGAAGATCTCTGCCTAGCGAACACTGACCACAAGCCAGAATATTTTGTTTAGCAGCATTTCATATGTGACGAGATCCAGGTCTAGTTCAGTTTTCTATTATGTAGATGGAGGCTGTCTCTCAGGAGCATCCTTCAGTTCAGTTCAGTCGCTCAGTCGTGTCTGACTCTTTGCAACCCCATGGACTCCAGCACGCCAGGCTTCCCTGTCCATCGCCAACTCCTGGAGCTTGCTCAAACTCCTGTCCATCGAATCAGTGATGCCATCCATCTCATCCTCTATCGTCCCTTTCTCCTCCTGCCTTCAGTGTTTCCCAACATCAGGGTCTTTTCCAGTGAGTCAGCTCTTTGCCATCAGGCGGCCAAAGTGTTGGAGCTTCAGCTTTCACATCAGTCCTTCCAATGAATATTCAGGACTGATTTCCTTTAGGATTGACTGGTTTAATCTCCTTGCAGTCCAGGGGACCCTCAAGAGTCTTCTCCAACACCACAGTTTAAAAGCATCAATTCTTTGGTGCTCAGCTTTCTTTATAGTCCAACTCTAACATACATATACATGACTACTGGAAAAACCATAGCTTTGACAGGAGCATCCTTATTCCAACTAAAATCTGAGCTTCACCAAGAGGTGGGTTTACAATCATATTTTAATAAATAGTATACCAAGAATGGACTTGATGTATCATCTAGGCCCATGGCTCATAAATGTATTATATCTCTGACCTAGACTTCTTCTCTGCACCTCGTGTGCCTGTATATACAACTGGCATTTCACATCTTCCTTAGACATCTCACAAGAATCTCAACTTAATATACCTCTAACAGGACCTTTCATTTGTATCCCCAAACCTGTTTCTCCCCAGTTCTTTGCAGGTTAAATAAATTATCTAGGATGCATCTTAAGTTCTTCCCCTTCCTTCACACTTTTTATCTAGTTCATCAGCAAGTAGCACTGTGCATGTCTTGAATCCATCACTTTTCTCTGTCACTGTTACCACCACTCTTACCTAATCATATTTCTTTATTAAAAAAAAACTATTTGGCTGTGTCAGGCCCTAATTGCAGCATGCAAGATCTTCGTTGCATCATGAGGGATCTCTCCTTGCAGCACTTGGGCTCTAGTTTTTGTGCTTGGGCTCTGGAGCACATGCACTCAGTAGTTGCGGTGCATGGGCCTAGTTGCTCCACGGCATATGGGATCTTAGTTCCCCAACCAGGGATCAAACCCACATCCCCTGCATTGCAAGGTGGATTCTTGCAGTGAATCAGGGGGACCAGGGAAGTACCTAATAATTATTTCTTGCCTGGGCTACTGCAGTAACCCCCTAACTGGTTTCCCGTTGTTGCTATTGTCTCCCTATTGTCAGCTTAAAACTCTTAAAGCAGACCAATGACATGATCTGGGTCCTGCTCACTGCCCCAAATTCCACCTACCTTATCATGTTCCAGGCCAACAGGAGGGTAATGGGAGATGGGCCCATCTCTGGGCTTTTCATTTGTTCTTCTGCCTGGAATGCTCTTCCACTGACTCATTTCTGTCCTTCAGACCTCAGAGAGCCCATCTCCCGTTGCTCTGTAACCAGCTATTTTCTTCATTGAATTTATCACCATCTGTAATTATCTTCCCCCTCCTCTTTTTTGGGAGGTGGGTTTCCCCTTCTCTGTAGTAGAATGTAAGCTGTCTGAAGCATCTTTTCTTTTTTTTTTCATTTATTTTTATTAGTTGGAGGCTAATTACTTTACATCATTGCAGTGGTTTCTGTCATACATTGAAATGAATTAGCCATGGGTCTACATGCATTCCCCATCCCGGTCCCCTCTCCCACCTCCCTCTCCACCCGATCCCTCCGGGTCCTCCCAGTGTGAAGCATCTTTTCTGACTTGTTCATCAGTGTGTCCCTTGCCTAGAGCCTTGCTCAGTGCCTGCCACATAATGAGTGCTCAATAATTATTTGGTGAATGAAAACTCATATTGTAGTTATGGTTGGATTATAAATCTTAAATCTTCTAGTTTGTATTCCAGTATTCATTATGTTACTTCAATTACAAATGCAAAGTAAAGAAAAAATATTGACATCTAAGTTCCCCCCTCACTCTGCCAAAAAAAAAAGAGTACTGTATATATGTATGTGTGTGTGTGTTTGTACATAGACATATATATTCATTTCTACCTTAGACATTTGAGGGCTTCAACAGAAATGAAATGACACTTGCCTTTAAGATGAACAAAAGGATGCAAGCAAATAAACAACTAATGACACAAGTGTGATTAAGGCATAAAGGATCAGTTAACCTCCAAGAGAGAAAGCAACATATTTCTAGGAGCCACCAATAATGTGCTAGTGAGACCTGACCCCACCAGGGCTTAATAAGCTAATGGTTCCGTTCTGTTCTTTCCAGCTGGTGTTTTTTAACATCCCCTTGATGGTTTACCTGTGTTGGATTTTGCTGCAGCGGTGTTTTGGCCACAACTTCAGGTCTCATCTCCGTCAAGGAAAATACTTGAAAATTATACCTGTTCACCTACTTATGTTACTGCTGTACATCTGGCATATTTATTCCTGCTACTTTCTCCATATGACATATGGCACTCTAGCTTTATTATTCTCTCCTTTACGGACCTGGTTGACACTGGCAACGCCTGTCCTCATTCGTTATGTTTGGACGCTGAACTCTGCTGAGCTTGGAACCTTCATAGTGCTGCTAAAAAGCCACTTGAGCTCGTGAAGTCTGTATGTCCTCATCCACCTCTGTAGCCCAGGCCTCTGCCTCAGCAGCAGGCAGAAAGCCAGTATTGACGGGCAAACTTCAGGGAGCTGCTGTTCCTTGGACACCTGGGAGTTGGGGGGTTACCTACTACTGATTCTTGCAGAATGGACTGCAGAAAATTCTCTATATAATGCCATGATTCCTTCCTTCCCCAAGAAGGTAAAGGGTTGATTTACTTTTATGAAGAGAAAGCCTTTATCTAGGAGATCCACAGGGCAGGGGCTGGTGGGTATGGGAGTATCTGAGGCCCACTCAGTGTGTTTTCTAGTTACCTCATGTAAAGTACCTAGCACAGTGTCTGGAACTTGGCAGCCTGTAAGGAGGCCACTTTAGGGACAGAGAACGTGCAAACTTGGACCTGCCCCTGACTACCCTTGATTAGTTCCTAGTCCCTCTTTTCAGCAGGATTATGGGCTTTCTGCTTCCTCAGTCGGGGGTGTTTTCAACTAATCAAATACCAATAAATTAATGATGAATAAGAAATAATCGATCTGGGTCTTGCCTGTGTCGTTAGGAGCGAGAGTGAGGCGGGGCTTTTGAGAGCGGAAGGGGCGTGGCTGGGCTTCCGAGGCGCGGCAGGTTGTTGCCGGAAGCGAACCTGCGGCCTGGAGGAGGAGCTGACAGCAGTGCGGCTCCAGAAGCTGCTTACTCCAGGGCTTACTCTGCTGGCTCTTAACGCGGTACTGAGATGGAGAGCGCAGCTGTACCTGCAGCCCCAGACCCCACCCTGCATCCGCCTCTGGAGCAGCTTCGGCACCTAGCCGGGGAGCTGCGGGAGCTGCTTCCCGGAGTGCGGGGTGAGCTGACGTAGTGGGGACGGGCGACCGCAGGGGCGGGCTTGGGTGGGAAGGGGCCAGGCCTTGGTGGCGGCGGCGGGTCCGGGCCGAGGAGGTGGGGCCGGGAGGTCGTTCCGCTTATCTGTGCTCTTTCGTTTGTCGCCGCCCGGCCCACACCCCACACCCTCTAGTCGGCGAAGCCCAGGAAACCACCAAGGAGTTTGATCGGGAGGCCTTTTGGAGAAGACTCAGTGAGTGCCTCTCCTATTAGACTGCTGTCTCTCCTCTCTTCCCTACTCCTTTCCTTCCTGCTTCTCCCCGTCCCAGCCTCTCTAAGGGGCTACTCCTCCTTACCTATCCTTGGTACCTCCGAGATTGAAATATAAAACACTGATTTTTGGAGGTGTTTTTGAGACGTCTCAGCGGGCAGGGGTGGAGAGGGAACGCATTATCTTCAAAGTCCGTGCAGCCGTTGCAGCCTTGTCCTTTTGGCACTAACATATTGGCCTTACCACCTGCTCTGTCACCCCACCCAGATGAGGCAGCTGTGACAGTGTCAAGGGAAGCCACGACTCTGACTGTAGCCTTCTCTCGACTTCCGCTGCCATCTCCACAGGTGGGCGTCACTTTCCTAGAATTCTTGTGCTGCTTCAGTATTCCTTCGGAAGCCTCTCATTTTCTTTCCACCTTTTACACTCAAATCTGGGGATTTAATTTCCTCGTCTGTCGAGTAAGATGTAGGTTCTCACACCACAGGATTGTTCTGAAGATCAAATTGTCGAATGTAGTAGTTGTCATGGGGTAGATGGCTCTTCTAAATATTGGTTCATTCTGAAGTTCACCCTGGTTATTTCCTTTTTGACATTTTTTCAAGTACTTTCTATTTGCTAAGTGTTTTCACGTACATGATCCCTTTCTGACAGATGAACAGGCAGGCTCAGAGGCTCAGGTTAAGGTAGATAAGTAGTGGAGCTAGGTCTTAAATTAGGTTCTCTCTGATGTTTGAGCTCCATCTTTTCTATTATACTACATAATACTCTTTTGTACTGAATTATATTTATACTTAATAATGTAGACAGTATAAGTTTCAAAAGATATCAAAGTTGAATGTGCTAAAAAGTTTATATCTCCTGTCTCTGGTACCTTTTGTATTATTCCATGTATATGCTATGCATATTCACACTTAAGTGCATGTGGTTTCTTCTTTTTACACAAGTGATAAGAGTTTCTGTTGAGAAATCAGCTGGTAACCTTATGGAAGTTCTCTTGTATGTTATCTGTCACTTTTCCCTTGTTGCTTTTAATATTTTATCTTTGTCTTTAATTTTTGTCAGTTTGATTACTCTGTACATGCTCAGGACAGTGGCTTTTTCATTCATAGATGAAAAATTAGAATATGGCTTTATATGAATTATATATATTTGAATCACAATTGCTTTCTTAGGATCTCAGCACATTAATTCTGCCAAAGAATGGGTTTGTTTTGTTTTTTTTAATTCCAGTCCTTACAAGGTGGTATTTTAATGAAATTATATGTTTGGATGTTGAAACAATGTCAAATTGACATAAAAGTTTCTAAGTATTCTCAATCGTTGTACCTATCCATCTCAGGCTGGTAACAGATCACTTATGGACTGGCACCAATCTGTAGATCACATTTTGTGTAGCACTGGCTTGGAATTTAGCAGAGCAGTGAGGACAAGGAAGATAAGGGAAAGCCAGTGACTGCCTAGAAGGAAAATAGTCAGCATTGAGCATTGTAAAGTCCATGCTAATTTCCTTTAGGTATACTGAGATTCTGTTAGAGACAGACAGACAGACACAGACACAGAGGCAGAGAGATAGACAACTGGTTAATGGTCTAAGATAGAGCTGACAACTTTTCTGTAAAGGGCCAGATAGTAAACATTTTAGGTTTTGCGGCCCAGCTATTCCACTCTGCCTCTGTAGTGCGAATACTGTTATAGACAATATGTAAACGCATGAGTGTGGCTGTGTCCCAGAAACATTTTATTTGCAAAAACTGGCAGTGAGCCTGATTGGGCCCTTGGGCTCTAGTTTGCCAACTCCTGGTCTAAGGTATGGTGAATATCTCAAAGCCAATCACAGATATCTTGGGATATAGAGTATCAGGGATGTTTTTCCTACAGTTTCTTCATGTCTTACTGAGTTTCTGCTCGGTATCTGGTATCCAGCTAACTCCTCCCTGGTATGTGATGAGAACAGCACTGGTGCATAATAGGACTTCAGAAAATGTTTGATGATGCTGTACAGATGTCTGCTCTTTTCCCCTGTAGATGGCTTGACCACATCGATCTAATCCATTTCTTTTTCTCTTTCTGAAATTGGTTTATCATCTCATAGGAAACCCAGAGGTTCTGTGAACAAGTGCATGCTGCCATCAAGGCGATTATTGCAGTGTACTCTTTGTTTCCCAAGGATCAGGGTAAGCCACTCCATACACATAAGTGTTCAGTTTATGGGGTAGATCTTTGCTAATGTGACAGCTTATGTCCTGAGAATTTTACCTTTTCCTCAATTTGAGCATGTAATGTAACTTTGTCCCATTAAGTGCAGTCAAAGGTAGTTATATAAGTGACCTCCATAAGTAAGCCTTTGTGCTAAAGTTCAGATACTGTGTTCTCATGTCCCCTGCCTTACCTGACTCTTAAGGTTTTTAATTCTCACTGGCTTCTCCGTCTCCTAACGCATTATAATCACCACAGATACTGCTTGGTTATCAGTGCCATCCCCAGGCTCCTCCTCTTCATCACATGCTGTTTCTGAGCTCCCTTATAGGTTAAGTGGCCCCCAGCTCTGCCTGTATATTCGTGTCTTGATTATTACCAGGTTACAATTATAATTATAAATGAATACATGTCTCATGGATCTTCAGGGTTACTCATGTGGTTTAAACTTGAAGTGTTTTATCCACAAATGTCAAGAAATCACTATTGTAAAAAATATTTATTATTTTATTTATTTGGCTGTGCCAGGTCTTAGTTGCGGCAGGCACGATCTTCAGTCTTTGTTATGGCATGCAGGGTCTTTAGTTGCAGCATGTGAACTCTAAATTGTGGCATGTAGGATCTAGTTACCTGACCAGAGATTGAACCCTGACCCCTGTGTTGGCAGTGTAGAGTCTTAGCCACTGGACCACCAGGAAAGTCCCAAGAAACTACTTTTTAATGAATGAATACATGCTGTCACGGAACGATTTTGTTTCAGATCTCTTTTGGAAAATACCACTAAGGAATGGTGGGAGGAGCAAGCAAATGACATGGGGATATACATAAGAGCTGGGTTTTGTGTTGGCACTCCAGTTAAAGCATGTGGGTGCACATTACCTCAAATTCTGTAGAGCTTAGATTCTCGGGAAGACTTTCCAGACTTTTGGAAAGACGAACAGGCTGCTTAGTCTTTGGGTCTGGCTACAGGCATCACCCTGCGAAAGCTGGTGCGGAGCGCCACTCTGGACATCGTGGATGATATGGCTCAGCTTGTGGAAGCACTTTACATCAATCCAGCCCAGAGGTAGTGATGCCACAGCTGGAGTTATTGGGTAATGGGGTTCTTTGCTTCTGGGAGGGGGGAAAATGTCATTTTAACAGCATAGTTACTGATAACTGAGATTAATGACCAGCAGGAAGGACCTTTGTAGGAAACAGGAACCCAGGTTATTGATATATCCTTATTGATTCCTTTCAGCAGCCCTGAGAACCTGATTTCCTACAACAGTGTCTGGGATGCGTGCCACCATGTACCTCAGATCCCAAGAGGTGGGTGAGAGTGGGAAGTAGACATTGACCCTGCTGGCCAAAGCTGACAGACCTCACATCTAGCTGCCAGTTTTGCAGTATGTATGTATTTTTACTTATGTAAAGAACAGTGAAATAGGTCTAGTTTATCACCAACATGAAAAGATAGGTATTAATTCTTTTTGTCAGTCTTTTTAGTTCACATAACTTCTAAACTCAAACAACCTCTGTCTCTGTCTCTTGTTGAACAGATGTGGTTTTCTCTTCTGGTCCTGCCCCAGGGGCAGTATTTTGGGGACACTGAAGCAGTTATGGGGTAGAGCCTGCTAGGTCCAGAGCAGTGGTCATCCAAGGGTACCTTGCTGAGAAACATCATGTGACCATTGTATTTCTTCTTATGGTGCATGACAGAAAGCTTTTTAGCCCCCCTGTCTGGGCACCCAGAGGATGTATATGAGAAGAATTTTACATTCAACTGCTGCCCTTGTTTGCTGTCTTTGGCACTCTCTTCAGATGAGAACACTGTTGCCTTTTGCAGATTTGAGAGAATTGTTGGGATTCTCCATTAACTGTAGTGCTTCTGATTCTTCACTCATAGATAACAAAGCTGCAGCCCTTTCAGTGTTGACAAAGAGCGTGGATCTTGTGAAGGATGCACATGAGGAGATGGAGCAGGTGAGAGGACCTCTTTCTTTGATGGTCGTTGGAAGGCCACTCTGTGTCTAGTAGATGAGGATTGGTTATAAAGAGAGAAGATGTGTTAAGTGTGGACCACATGGGTCCCCCCTCACTCCCATCCTCCATCACCCATCTCCCCCTGCCCCATGTGGGGGTGTGATTTGTACCATTCCTCTCTGTTCCATTGCTGCACTAGGAGAGTTAGAACAGCATGTGTGAGATGATTCAGCTCTGTAGCCATTTAGGGAAATAGCTGGCTGAAGTTTGGGGACAACTCAGACATGATGCTAAAAGTATTAATACTTTTTTTTTCCCCTAGCATTCACATATATCATCTTGTATCTTAGGCTGTGGAAGAATGTGACCCTTACTGTGGACTCTTGAATGACATTGAGGAGGACAGCTCTGACAACCATGTTGGTGAGGAGGATATATTGGGATGTCCAAACAATCGGGATTCATATTGGTCAGAGGAAGACCAGGAGCTCATAATCCCGTGCCTTGCACTGGCGAGAGCATCCAAAGCCTGCCTGAAGAAAATCCGGCTCTCAGTGGCAGAGAACGGAAAGAAGGATCAGGTGGCCCAGCTGGATGACATTGTGGACATTTCTGATGAGATCAGCCCTAGGTAAGCTTGACCTCCACTCAAAACATCCAGGCAGCAGCATTCTGATCTCAACTTGTGCTGTCACCTGAAGGTTTTTCCCCATCTTTTTGTTTTGAAAGTTTTCAAACCTGCAGGAAGGGTTAAAAAGTATTGTAGTGAGTACCTGTACTTCCATCTAGGTTCACCTATTGTTCACTTTTTTTTTCTGTATTGGTTTATTTCTCTGTAATTAGATGTGCCTTTTTAAAAACTGAAATAGATGTGCTATTTTTATCCCTGATCCATTTGTGAGTAAGTTGCAGACATCAGTGACATTTTCCCCTGAATATTTCAGCATGCATTTCCTAAGAACAAACAGTTTTACTCTTAGTATTACATTTAAGAAATTTACATTGAATATGTGTTTGTGTGTGTTAGTCGCTTAGTCGTGTCCGACTCTTTGCAACCCCGTGGACTATAGCCTGCCAGGCTTCTCTGTCCATGGAATTCTCCAGGCAAGAATACTGGAGTGGGTTGCCATTCCCTGATGATAAAGATTATACTGAATATAATAATATTATCTAATACTCAGATTTCCCCAGTTGTCTCTAAAACATCTTCTATAGCTTTTTTGTTTGTTTAATTCAGGGTTCTGTCAAGGGGTCATACTGCATTTGGTTGTCTTCTCTTTTGGTATCTTGTAACTAAAATAGTCCCTGTCCTTTTTTAGATTTTTTTATCATTGACATTAAAAATTTTTTTAAATTTTCTTGACATTTTTAAAGAATCAAAGTCAGTTGCATTGTAGAATATCCAGCAATCTGGATTCATGTGATTGTTTTCTCATAATTATATTCAGGTTAAACATTTTTTGGCAAGAATATCACTTAGTTGAGTGTTTCATGCTTTTCACTGCATCATATTGGAGAGGCATATGGTATTAGTTTGTCCTGTTTCTGGTGGTACAGCACTAACTTGATTGCTTGATTAAAGTGGTGCCTACTTTAGTGGCATTCAGGGATGAACCCTGCCTATATCAGTTATTAAACTTATGGTTTCAGATCCTAACATTTTAAACTGAATTAATAATGTCCCATCCTACTGGCCAAGGGAGTTCCCCTCCACCCTCAACTTCTTAGTAAAACAGGGTATGTATGTGTTCCAGTAAATACCAGTTGAATTGGTTATTTATTGGTTGCCCAGTTTAAGGAACTGATGCATTTCTGGGAATTATTTCCTCACTCATTGCATCCTTAGTTGTGTCCTGGAGACCACCTAGCTGAGCTTTGTTCCTTCTTGGTTAATGGTTATTTTTTCTTTCTCCCTTCAGTGTGGATGATTTGGCTCTGAGCATATACCCACCTGTGTGCCCTCTGACTGTGCGAATCAGCGTAAGTACTGGCTATGAGGGAATAGCTGCAGACCTAATTGGTAGAATTTCAGTAATCACTGATGTTACCTTAAACTGTGGGGAATATGTTTATTTGTTACACTTGGATGCAAGTACAATAGTAATGTCACAATGTGTTTGTGCTTGATAAATATTTGTTGAATTTGAATTCTGATAGCAATGAGTTCCGATAGTACTCTCTCTTCCATAACCACTTGGGTAATCATTTAGAAAAACCCAAAGACCTTAGAGGGGCTTCCTTGGTGGTGCTAGTGGTAAAGAACGAACCTGCCAATGCAGGAGACGTAAGAGACATGGTTTGATCCCTGGGTCAGGAAGATCCTTTGGAGGAAGGCATGGCAACCCACTCCAGTATTCTTGCCTGGAGAATCCTGTGGATGGAGAAGCCTGGCAGGCTACAGTTTATAGGTTCGCAAAGAGTCAGACACAGCTGAAGTGACTTAGCATGCATGCACCCAAAGACCTTAGAAAACCATACCTTGAGAGAAAGTGTTAATTAGTACAGTGCTTTAGGATTCTTTCAACGTGAAGTTACAAGTTTCCAATTCCCAGTATAGGCCAAAATAGGTGTTTAGAAACATACTCTATTCTAATATCGACATATTATGTGATTTAACCATGAGTGGTCATGAAGGGTTAAACTCTTTATAAAAATCTGATTTTATTGTTTTCTTTGAAGTCCTAGGTCCTGTGCTAAGAGTTCTGTTCTCTCTTTTTTTTTCTTTTAATAAACTTTAAGTTATTATGTCTCATTTTATTGGAAAGAGAAGTAAAATTGCAGATAGCTTATATTTTACCATCAGATGTATCAGTCCTAATAATATTTGGTAAATTAGATAGTGGAAATTATTAATAGAGTCATCAAATGTATCTTCACAATGTGGAAACACCTTGTAGTAGAATTAGGATCCTTTTGGACATTAACTTTTTCTTCACATTCACTTTTAATTGACTTCTGAAGAAATAAACATCCTTAGTAATACACCATGTCAGTTACCCTAAAAGCAGTTTTAAGGAATGCATGGTATATTGGTAGCATACATACATCTTTATGTTATCTTGTTATTGGTATTCTTAAAATTTTAAGTTTTTTAAAAAAACCCAGTTGTTTCTGCTGTATATATCCAGAACTATCAGCAGTTAGGACAAACTTGGGTTATATTTTTCCTTTTTTTGTTTTCTTTAAAATTTAAATATAAAAAAGCTTATAAATATGCTATGGCAGCAGTATTAATAAGATTTTGCTAGATAGAAAAGAGTCCATGATCCTGCCACCTAATCAACATTTTTGTTTTTGACTGTTTCCTCCAAGGTTTTTTTTTAAATGACTTCTTATTACTTGAATATTAAAATACTATAATATTTTAACTCTCCTCCTTCCTTTTTTCTCCCTTTCACTTTTTAAAAATTGACTTCTTGTCCCAGCTGCTGATAGTTCAGGATATATATAGCAGAAACAACTGGTTTTTTTTTTTTACTTAACAGAATTTTAAGAATACCAGTGACAAAATAACATGAGGATGTATGAATGCTACCAATGTACCATGCATTCCTTAAAATTGTTTCTAGGGTAACTGACATGATGAATTGCTAAAGATGTTTATTTCTTAAGAAGTCAGTTTTAAAAAAGTGAATGTAAAAAAAGGGGGGGAAGAGAGCTAAAGTATTAAATATTCTAATACTCAAGTAAAATATTTTAGCTCTTCCGCCTCCCCCCCCCCCACTTTTTTCCTCCTTTCTGTGTTTTACCTCCTTTTCCTTTTTTTTCCCCTAAATATTTGTTTTATTTGTTTGGCTGTGCTGAGTTTTAGCTGTGCCCTGAAGTATCTTGGGTCTTTGTTGTGGCATGCAGGATCTTTTAGTTGTGGCCTGTGGGGTCTACCTCCCTGACCAGGGATTGAACCCAGGCCGCCTGCACTGAGAGCTCAGAGTCCCAGCCACTGAACCTCCAGGGAAGTCTTCTCTCCTCTCCTTTTTGTGGTAGGGCTCAGGGTGAATAACTTCTCTTGTTTCTTTTTTTTTCTAGTCTGCAAAACTTGTATCCGTTTTAAAGAAGGCACTTGAGATAACAAAGTGAGTATGAAGACTTATCCCCAAGCCTGTGCAACCATTCTCAACTCCCAAACCCCCATTTCAAAGAGCAGAAAGTGAGTGCAGTGTTTTCTTTCAGCTTTGCTTATGGAGCAGCTGAGTTTCTGCAGAGAAACTTGCCCTCTTTTATTGTAGTTTTCCCTATGCTCCCTTTTGAGGATAGGTCTTTTCCTTGACAGTATAATAAGTTTAACTTCTCTTTTTCCCATTGCATTCACAGAGCAAGTCATGTGACTCCACAGCCAGAAGATAGTTGGATTCCTTTACTTATTAATGCTGTTGATCATTGCATGAATAGAATCAAAGAACTCACTCAGAATGAAGTTGAATCATGAATTTTCAGGCTCATTTGAACTCTTTTCTCTTTCTTATTGTCACAGCTGAGCTCTGATGTCTGCTTTTAGAAAGGAGCTGGGATGCTTTCTGAATTGGAAGGGAGTTCCTATCTATACTTATTAAGAGACACAATTACCAAAGTTTGGTGATTAGGCCAAACTGGCAATCATTTATAAACCATGAGTATGATATGTTTTTCTGTGCTAGATGCAAAAGGCAATTACATGAGTTTTTGTTATTCAGTTGCCTCTCAGAGATCCCTGGGGAAGCTGCCTTATTCCCTATTCAATAAGATGTGTCATTGTCAAAGATATATTTTAGCATGTTACTGAATATAATTCTTCTTACCAGCAAGTTCTTTTGAATGTTATTCCAGTTTGTTCCATTACTCTCTTGGTATTGAAGGGCTTCCTCAGTGGCTCAGCAGTGAAGAATCTTCCTGCAATGCAGGAGACGCAGGAGACAAGGTTCAATCCCTGGGTTGGGAAGATCTACTGGAGAAGGAAATGACAACCCACTCCAGTATTCTTGCCTGAAAAATCCCTTGCTCAGTCACGTCTGACTCTTTGCAACCCCGTAGACTATAGCCTGCCAGGCTCCTCTGTCTTAGCGATTTTCTAGGCAAGAGTACTGGAGTGGTTTGCCATTTCTTTTTCCAGGGGATCTTCCCAACCCAGAGATCAAACCTGAGTCTCTCATTTCTCCTGCATGGCCAGGCAGTTTCTTTACCAGTGCCACCTGGGAAGCTGGAAAATTAATAAAGTGAAACCTTATTTAAAATGGAGTTGAGAGGCCAGAAGGAGGAGCTCTCACAGTGTTACTCTAGGTAAATAACAGGAAGGATTGTCAATTATAGATAGGAATGTACACCTATAGATAAGTGTACATTTTATCTCCTACAGGAAATAGACCCTAGCTACTAAGCTAATGAGAGCCCCTCACCCTGAACTCTCGCTTTCCTCCGTGAAATTTTGTTCAAAACAACTGCTCCCAACTTCCTCCCTTTCCCTCCTTTGTTTGTGGGACTTGGCTGTGGCTTTTACTGTAGCTGGCTTGACCCTAATTGCAGTTGTTTGTTGTTCCCAAATAAACCTGTTTTGCTGGTAAAATAACTGGCTGTTTCATTTTTTAGGTCAACAAGCTCAGTTGTTAGGTCTGTTCACTGTATTGAACAGACTTATTTTCCTTATACATATTTACATTGTTCTCTGTTTTGTATTGCCTGTCCCCAAATGTAAGTACAAAATTTTTATAAATCAAAAAATTTTGAATGTATAAGAGAGCTTATATAATATTAAGGGCCTCTTCAGTTAATTCTTTTGCAAAACCATCACCAGTTAATTATATTTTTGCATCAGTCTGGAAGATCACATATTGGAAAGCAAGGTAAACCTGGAAACTAACATCTTAGAAAGCAGGGTATGCAGTTCTATACCTGACTAGGCCTTATGCATGTCCTGCAGGTCTCCACTCTTCTACTGGCGGTCCTTTGTCTTGTATAGATGTACTCCATCACATCTGCCCATCTGACATCCCCGTGGTCTCTTTAGGTGCAATCAGCAACAGTAGCTGTCCTTTTTTTATTCCCACCACCCCTTCTTTTTTGTTATGTTCACTAATTTGTTATATTTTTTATATTTTTTAGATTCCACATATAAGTGATATCATACTGTATTTATCTTTCTCTGTCTGACTTTTTTCACTTAGCATAGTACCCTGCAAGTCTAGCAGCCAGTCTTTTGAGAGAATACTGTGTACTTGAGGCTGAAATTCTTTGAGTCAAAAGTTTTACTTTAATAAAGTGCCATTCTGTACTTGTTAACAAGTATTACAAAGAAAAGGTACTAAAACCGAGAGTATCAAAGCAACAAAATAGAAACAATGAAAAAAAAATTTAACTTTGTACAAGAGGAGTCCAGTTTTTTTCGTAGGTCCTATTTTCTTTATACTTAATAATTGTGTATTTCTCTACTGGACCAAATTCATGTTGTTAACATCACACTTAATTGTGGACTATTTAACATTTTCATATTTAAAAATTTTCATGTTTAGTATTATGAAAGCATAATATTCAACTCTAATAAGGACTTATCCATAGCTGAATATTGAAGAAACACTCAGGTCTTATGCTGTGTATTTTACAGCTTTCTTTAGTCATCTTTGAATCTTTAAGGATAATGGTCAGGGATAGCATTGATCAATATAATCTTAGGATTGTCTAAAAGTCATATTTTTAGTTAATGTTGTCCCATTTCATCAGAAATACAAGAGTGCTTTAAATATTAGGTTATTTTCCTTACCTGTAAATGAATGTATGTATTAGTGAATAGTAAATGGTTATGAAAAACCCTGAACTAAAAAAAAATCTTAATTTACTTATCTGAATACCTTTATAAAGGCTTTTTAAAAAATTTCTCGAGCCCAGTAGTTTCTGTTTTAAGACAGCTAGTCTTCATAGGTGCCTTGAGCTGGGGTGACAGAAATGAATGTTTTTTCTGTTGATTTCTGAGAGTATAAGTTTTTTTGAAGTGGGGAATCTAGTTTTGTTCTTGGTCCTCTCCTGCTCAACCGGAGCAGAGAATCATTTGTCTGATAAGCAAAGTTTCTCTTCCCAGCATGCTTGGTTTTAGATTGTAGATTCAGGAGGTGGTTGGGGAAAGTGATGCTGGAGCTGGAAGTTTAAGCTGGAGGTTTACGGGTTACCACTGTGACAGTTCTGAAGTTGGTTAGGTTCTGGAACATGTTGCAGTCCATTTCCACAGTGAGCCTCTGGCACCCCACCTTCACTGGCATGAACTCAACTTGGGTGCGCAAAGTGTTTCTGGGCTGCACCGAATTCACTCTGAAATAGAAGAAAAGGTAAGTCCTAGTTCTGCTGCAGGGCCATTCCTTTGCTGGTCCCAGTGAATCTGATCCTTACCTGCTTACAGAGGTGGACCCTGAAGAAATAAACTTGTAAGTACCCAGCTGTTAAAACAGAGGAGGTTTGAAGGGGGTGGAAGGCAGGAGTCTCCATGGTGAGCAGCTGTATGGTTGAGAAGAGAAATATCCTATTCTAAGGGTTTCCAGGTTGCATCTGTTGTTTCATCACCTGTGACTTCAGTCTGGTCCCATTCTTGGTAATAGTAGGCTTGTGAAAACTATGGTTTTGGAAGCCTCATTGCTAACTGCAGTGGGTGTAGTGGGCATACTAGATGTCAGGATGCCAGCAGGTGGCATTTGGAGCCCTATCAGCAGCTTTCTTGTCTACCTGTGGTCCTTCTTATGGTGACTGAGCCAATGGTACAGATTTCTTTTGAGAAGGTTTGCCTTTCAGTTTATCTGGGAGACTACAGAAGTCTGGTTAAATGCTGGCAGTCCTTCCTCTCAACTATGACCAAGAGTGACTGACTGAGTTTCTTGAGGCTGAGGTGGTGGCTCAACAACCACACAACCTGTCAGGGACCTCGGGGTTGTAGGAATAGGCATCGTGAACTCTAAACTGTATGTGTGTGTTTAGTGGAGGATGCTGTGGACCTCAGGAGAGAAGGAGCAATAATTAACAAAGATACTTGCAACATCTAAAGCCAACAAGGTGCGGATAACCTAGATTATATAGGGTTTGTGTGTATGAATATATGTGTGTGTGTATATATATATATACACCCACAGATAACAAGGAAAAAAGAAACAGCAAAAGAAAAGTGGGCAAAGTTAAGAAACTACACAGAGGAGGAAATGGAAAAGGCTAACAAACATATGCTGCTATTCATGGGGTCGCAGAGTCGCACACAACTGAGTGACTGAACTGAACTGAATAGACATATGAAGAGTTGCAAGTTAAAACAATGATGAGATGTTACCTTATTCCTGTTAGACCAGATTAAAAGAGAAAACTGAGTATTGCCAAGAGTGGAGGAATGGTAGGAATATAGAAGCTGTCAAGTACTGCTGGAGGGAACTGCAGCCATTCTGCAAACCAATCTGATAGCATGTGGTCAAACCAGGTCTTATCCTGTGTCTCAGCAACTCCATTCCTGTGACTTTATCCCCCACACATGAATTTTCAAGCAGGTTTATAAGGGGATATGTGTATTTGCGGTGTCTGAGTGTTGGAGGCACTGTGGAGTGGTGTGGTAGGAAGCAGGGGTATACATTATGGAGTGATTTGTAGCAGAAGCAATGGACTTGACATGTGGATGAGTGAAAAACAGTTCTAAGTGAAATGAATTAGACATAATGTTTATATATAGTTTAAAAATACAGGCTCATGATGCAACAGTACACATTTTACACATACTAAGACAAGGGTATGAAGAGTGGTGGTGGGAATGGGAGTAGGGAATAGGAATAAAAGGGAATGTGTAAATAAAATTCTGTATTGTGTTGTCACTAGTTGAATGCAGCTCTTTCCTGTGATGTTCCCTAACCCCCTCACCTGTGCTCATCAGTAATACCCAGGCCCTCTCTGCGTTACCAGGGCCTCAACCAGCGTCAGGTGCCCAAGGGGCACAGAGCCTCCCTCTCTCCTGTACCCCTGTAAGCATTGGTGGCCCCGGGGTGAGAGAGGTCCTGATCTTTTAGTTCAACTCTGGCTGGTACTTGCTCTGTCTTCATGGACACAGCAAACAGTGTCATGAGTCTTGGGTTCCTGCCATTCTTTACCATTTGAGCCACCAGGGAAGCCCAGGTGCTTGCCTTTCTGACAGGCTGAGATACTTCTGTGGGATGAGAAGCCTGTGCTCTCTTACCTGTAGCTCTTCTCTCTGTAAATGAGCCCCCTTCCAAAGATGGAGATCACACAGTCTTCCAAGGGAACATCGAGGGGGTTATGGATGCTGACCACGACCGTCAGGGGCTGATGCTGCTCTGCCGTCTCTGGCATCTGGGGGGGATCCCAAGAGCACGGAGCTGCAGTCACTCCTTCCCCTCCTAGTTACCCTCCCGGAACCCTTTCTTGGTTATTCTCCTATCTCTACCATCCTCACCTAAACTCAACTGCTGACTTCCCTACCTCTCTGCTTGATCTTCTGTATCTGCTTTCACCCTTGATCCATCACTGACAACACTGATGGTGCCTTTCCATCACTTGGAAACCTTAGAAGGTTTCCCATCGTCTTCAGAATTCATCTTTGGTTGGCCTTCAGAGCCCTCCACGATCTAACCCCAACCTATCCCAGGCTCATCTGTTCTACCCCTGACTACACCCTAGCCTCTGGGCAGTTTCCCAGCCCCAGCACAGCCCTCCGGCTCCCTTCATCTGGGCCCCTTTTCTCAGTCTTCCGTCTGCAATGGCCTTCTCCCTCCGCTGCACTGAAAGCTTACCTACTGTTCAAAGCCTGACACAAATGCCACCTCCTCCATGAAGTTTTCCCAAACCCCAGCCGGAAATAGGCCTCTTTACTTCACTTGTGCCAGAGTGACTTTGTTCCTCTGAAAACTCTGACATAGAAGACCACACATTATGTCACCCTTGCACAACTGTGACCCCCTCCAGGGCAGAGACCAAGTCACATTCATTTTGGTCTGGGTACACATGTGGAAAGAGGACTGGACTAAGAGGCCTAAGCCTCTAAGACATCCCATATTTATGATTTGTAGGCATGATGCTTTCCTCATCTGAATAATGGGAAGAGATCACCTCCCAGGGCTGTGGTATTAAAAGAAGTAAAATGTGAAAAGACATTGGTACTGTATAAGGTGCTAAATAACCGTAGGCTGTTATTATCTTTGTAAATTTGGAGGCAGCCACTGAGAAGACTCCGATTTTAGAAAGCTTTACTTAAAGCGGAAAGATTTAAATCTTAGTGTCATATATAAGAAATCATCTCTTTCAAGAGGAGCTCTCAACCCAGCATTTCCTGATAGTTTCTTCAGCACGGTCACCTGCTCTGAAGCTTGAGGTGCTCTGTTCTTTCTGAAAAGGCGACCTGAATAGCAGCAAACACAGCAATTTGGGGAAGGACTGGTGCCTACCTCGATGACAAGGTGTGGTCTGCAAATGGCGATGTCTTGCTGGGCGAAGCAGGTAAGGCTGGAGTGCGTTGCCATGGCAGTGAGTCTGAGGAAGCTATTCTCTGGCAGGCTTTGTTCAAAACTGTAGTTGAACAGGGAGGTAGAGATTTTCTTATCTGAAACATGTAACAGGTGGAGTCAGTGCCCAGGAGTGAGTGCACGTGCCCCAGAGACAAGCAGTAGTTTCATGCTTGTCTCCCAGGAGACATGACTCCCAGGAGGCCTCACTGAAGCCAGAAAGATGCCTCATGCCTCACAGCAGTTTCAGAATGCGCTCACTCAAGAACCCACCCTAAAGGACTTCCCTGGCGGTCCTGTGGTTAGGACTCCGTGGTCTCAAGGCAGGGGGTCCAGGTTCAACCCCCCAGTCAGGAAACAAGTTCCCACACGCCACAACCAAGAGCCTGAATGCTGCAACTAAGATGAGGGGCAGCCAAAATAAACAAACAACCCACCCAAGACCAATATCACCATCATGAGCACAACACCTTTGGTAGACCACCTCCACAGGGCTCTGGAAAGGGCCCTGTGAGCTGCAAGTGGAGCCTCAGTCTCCTTGTCTAGTAATAACACCTACCTTGTGGGATGGCTTCTGGTCATGAGACAGTTGTTAAGTGTTGGCTTCAGACCCAGTCATGGCTGAATATATGCTTGCTTGCTCCCCTCCCCTTCTCTGCTGCTGTTCTTTCCCGTTTGCAAAGAAAATGAAGCCACCCTTCCCTCCTCACCACTGCCTCCAGGGTGAGGCCCCTTGTGTGCCCAGATCCTGTCCCCTGCTTTTTAAACCAGTGCTCCATCCCAACCCCACCACTGCTTAGCTGTGTAACTGTGGGCAGTTTATTTCACTTTCTGTGTGTTAGGCTCCTCATCTGTAAAGTGGGGATGATAATGGTTCCTGCCTCATAAGGTCATTATGAGGATAAATGAGATAATGCATACAAAACACTTAACATCATGTTTGCCAAAAATAAGTGCTCAATAAATGTGAGCTATAATTTGTTCTAGTCGTGTCTCATTTCCTCAAAGGTTGCACCATCGAGTATAACCCATCTCTCCTGAGGCTTCGTCTTTTTCTATTAATTCTTCTGCAGCATTTAAGCAGGTTCTGCGCTGTCATCTTAAAACAAAAAGCACCTTTCCTCTCCCGAGTGTCCCTGTCTGCCACCCACCCTCTCTTCTTTTTCCATCCATTCTTCCAGGAAGGACTGCGTGCCTTGTCTCACCTCCTCAGCTCTCAGCAGTTTAAGCCCCAGGGAACCTATTGCTTCTCCACCAGACCTCTCTGTCAGTAGAGGCTTTCCAGCCGTGGCCTCTCAGCCTCTCCAGTGGCCATGCTGGGCTCCCCTTTCTTCTCTTTGACTTAGTCTCTCACTCTGCTGTCTCCCTGTCTGGTGCCTACACGCTGGTGCAGCCTGGGTTTCCTCCTCACCCTCTCATCTTCTCTCAGTCCCTCCCCCTCTTCCCCCATCCAGGACTTTATCTCGAATACCAGCTTTAGGTTTCCAGCTGCCTACTGGCCATCACAGCTCAGATGTCTTCTGGGATTTCAAACCCAACATGCAACAAACAGAATGCATCATCTTTCTCCCCAAACCCGTGCTTTCCCATTGGCCCGACTTTAGAGGCTCACCCAAACTGGAAGCACCCTCTAGCCACATACACAAGTTCAATCTAGCCCAGTTCTATAATGTGACTTCATTTGAAAAGTTCTGCTAGTTTACTTTGTCCTTCAGTTTTTCAAAACCTTGCAACTTCTAATCTGTGGTTGTTGGATACACATTAGATACACATTAGAATCATATGGGAAGCTTTAAAAATTCCCAATGCCAAGCCACACCCCAAGTCAATTATAACAGACTCTGACCGAGAGACCTAGGAATCAGTATATTTAAAGTTCTCCACGTGTCTCTTTCAGATCTGGTTTCCTCGGTGTGTATGCCCAGAAGTGGGATTGCTGGGTCATATGGCAGTTCTATTTCCAGCTTTTTAAGAAATCTCCACACTGTTTTCCATAGTGGCTGTACTAATTTGCATTCCCACCAACAGTGTAAGAGACACGTGTACCCCAATGTTCATCGCAGCACTGTTTATAATAGCCAGGACATGGAAGCAACCTAGATGCCCATCAGCAGACGAATGGATGAGGAAGCTGTGGTACATATACACCATGGAATATTACTCAGCCATTAAAAAGAATTCATTTGAATCAGTTCTAATGAGATGGATGAAACTGGAGCCCATTATACAGAGCGAAGTAAGCCAGAAAGATAAAGACCATTACAGTATACTAACACATATATATGGAATTTAGAAAGATGGTAACGATAACCCTATGTGCAAAACAGAAAAAGAGACTCCTATGTATAGAACAGACTTGTGGACTCTGGGAGAAGGCGAGGGTGGGATGTTTCAAGAGAACAGCATTGAAACACGTATATTATCTAGGGTGAAACAGTTCACCAGCCCAGGTTGGGTGCATGAGACAAGTGCTCGGGCCTGGTGCACTGGGAAGACCCAGAGGGATTGGGTGGAGAGGGAGGTGGGAGGGGGGACCGGGATGGGGAATACATGTAAAAAAAAAAAAAAAAAAAAGATACACTATGGTTGTGATTAAAAAAATAAATAAATAAATAAATTAAAAAAAAAAATAAAAAATAAATAAAGTTCTCCAGGTGATTCAACATACAGACAAGGTTGAGATACATGACTCTAATTTGATCACTTCCATTCCATTCTACCAAAAGTTCCTTTTCAAAAATTAATTTCTAATCCCATTGACTCCTTTGGTTAAAACCTTCTACCAGCTCCCCATTGCCCAGGGAATAAAACCCAAATTCTTGAGCAGCATTGACAAGCCACTTCAAGATCTGGCCCAGTCTGGCTCTCATGCAACTCCCCTACTCCACTCAGCCCACTCTTGGAAAGGGAACAGGGTGGAAAGACTGGAGGCAGGGGGACCAGTCAGGAGGTTGGTGCAATCATGTAAATGAGCTCTATTCCACTGATTCTCTTGCCTGCACATTGGAGTCACCCAAGGACTTAACAATATTTTTGATGTTTGGGTCAAACTGTAGAGTTTCTGATTTAATTGGTCTGGGGTGCAGGCTGAGCATCAAACTTCCCCCAGGTGGTTCTTATGTGCAGCAAAGTTGGAGAATTTTGCCATGAGGACTAGAGCTGAACTAGCTGCTCTAGTCCAGGGAATTTCAACCCTAGAATAACACAGGGAGCTCTGAAAAAATTCCAGTGCCTGGATCCAGCTCCAGGTCAATTACATAAGAATCTCAAGGAGGAGGAAGAACCTGGGCATATGTCCCTTCTTCCTGGAAAGCCCATGACTCCCTTCTCTGTCTGACACTGCCTTACTCATCCTTCAAGACCCAGGGCAGCCTGATTTACCTGGGGGCAGGCTGCTCCTGTCTGTGAGAGATGCTAATCCACCATTGTGCTGTGTTTACCTCGTCAAACACTTCTTACACGGCTCCATAGTCTGTTTACTCAAAAGACTATAATCAGAATTGCGGGTTTTGTTTTTCCTGTGTGAAGCTCAGTAAATATGTATTGAATGAGAGAGAGAGAGCCAGCGAGCACATCAGGAACTAGAAACCATGTCTGCAAATCTGCAGGGGTTGCTGTGTGACCGCTGCCTGCTCAGAGCGGGAGCTGGGCATGTAGAGTGTTGGGAAGGGGCCGCAGAGAGGTACCTGAGCTGGCACTGAGCATGAAGACAAACTTCTTCCTCCAGAGCTTGGCAGCAAGGACGCCGTTGTAGTACACTGCCTGCAGCCCGATTGCCAGCTGCACTTCCTTCTCCTGGTCACTGGGGTTTAACAAGTTCACAGAGAACTCTACATTCTCTCCCAGGACTATGGAACTCGGTGCTTTCATTAAGAGATATAGAGGATCATCAATCTCACAACAAGGAGGATAGATGCCATCATCTTTCTTGTGTTTCATTCTATATTTCTGGACTTTCTTCAGCACCAGTTTTTCTTGAGAAGATCCTGAAGAATGGGATAAACAAAGCAGGTCTCTTACCCAGCAGGTATAGACCCTTCTAATAAAAGCTCAGGATTAAGGTTCATTGACCCACTACTGCTCAAATTTGCCAAGGCTACAAGAGCTTTGCAAACCTCTCCTGCCACATGTAGCTAAAAAAAAGGGTTGTGTTAGACAAACTCACCACAGATACAGTGTCTCTCTTCCAAGTCACTCAAGGGTCAAGTTCTTCAAGGACTATGAATTTGCCCCTTGAATGGTGGGAGAGCTAGTTTTTGTACAAGTTGCAGTAACTTGTATTTTCCAAAGTGAAGGAGTTTGGACTGATTCCAAGGGAAATGGAGGCCATGAAATATTCTGGAGCAGGAATATTCTGTAACATAAATATATTTGTGTCCTGGGAAGTTCATTCTGGAAACCATAAGTTAGAGATGGAATAACGATGAGGAGACTGGAGGCAGGGGTCCAATTAGGAGGCTACTATAATACTGTAGTCAGACATGACTGAGCGACTTCTCTTTCACTTTTCACTTTCATGCATTAGAGAAGGAAGTGGCAACCCACTCCAGTGTTCCTGCCTGGAGAATCCCAGGGACGGTGGAGCCTAGTGGGCTGCCGCCTATGGGGTCGCACAGAGTTGGACACGACTGACGCGACTTAGCAGCAGCAGCAGCATAATACTGTAGAAGAGAGATGGTGAGGCCCTGGGTGACCTGTAGGCAATGGGGAAGGAGATGAGGAGATGGGTGTGAGGGTACCATCAGGAGGCTCAAGAACAGAGCAGGCCTTCTTGTTTGGACAAATGGGTGGACAGTATAGCACTGTGCTCTAATAACTACTATGGAGGGGAATTCACAGGGAGGTTGGGGAGTGTGGGAGGACAGCAGGAGAGAGAGAATACTTCCCGGCAGCTGGGCTTGTTTTTTGTTTTGTCTTTGACCATGCCACTTGTGACATGTGAGATCTTAGCTTCCCAACCAGGGATTAACCCCCTGTAGTAGAAGTGCAGAGTCTTAACCACTGGACCACCAGGGAAGTCACCTGGGCTTGGTATTAAGTATTCTGTTCTATAGCAGTGGTTCTCAGCTGGGGACAATTTTGCCCCCAGGGGACATCTGGAAATGCCAGGAGACATTTTCTGGTTGTCACACTGGGGGTGGTGGTTGAGGAGGGGCTGGCATCTAGAGGATAGAGACCAGGAAGGCTTCTGAATGTCCCAGGTTGCACAGCCTCCCAGATAGCAAAGATATCTGGTCCAAATCGTGAATAAAGTCAAACAGGGTTGAGAAGTCCTGTTTTATGTGATGGGGAATGGCCTGCACGTCTCCCTGGCCTGCATGTGTCTGGCCCATTCCTTTCCCTCTGTTGCTGTTTGGGGCCCTCCTCTGCCTGGTGCATGCATGCTACATTGCTTCAGTCATGTCCAACTCTTTGCAACCCCACAGACTGTAGCTGCTCAGTCTGTCCATGGAATTTTCTGGGCAAGAAAACAAGGGGGTTGCCATTTCCTACTCCAGGGGATCTTCCCGACCCAGGGATCGAACTGGCATCTCCTGCATTGGTGGGCAGATTCTTTACCTCTGAGCCACCTGGGAGGCCCCCCACTGCCTGGTACCTTCAGGATACTTGTAGTTCTGTGTGATATCCTCACGGCGGTCACAGTCCACATTCTTGGTGCTGATATTGTTGCCAAAATACTTAGTGTTGCAGTCAGTCAACTCCAGTGTCCCATCTTCACGGCACTTCCAGACCACACATGAGGCATTTATTGAGGCAAAAATGTCTGATACTGCAGGGGTCAGCCACACTATCCCCTCCTTGACTGCTCTGACTGGGACCAGATCACAGGCCTCCAGGACTGAGGGAGAGAAGCGTCAGTGAGTGAGAGGAATCATACCCAGACCTTGGCTTCTGTCAGAGCAGCAAAACCTCGGTCCCTATCCTCATGCCCTATTGCCCCTCCGCTGGAATCAAGGTCAGAGGTGGGCACCAGGCAGGGTTTCTGAGAGGGCACAGCTGAGGTGATGCTTTTGGTCATGGTCTATGGTAGGCGCCCTCTCAGAAGTTGGACAAGACCTCAGAGTTACAGAATACATGGGAGTTCCTAAGCCAGCTTGACCACAGACATGACAGGAGTAGGTTGCCTTTGTTGAGCACTTCCTACGTGCCTGGCCCTGTGACTGTTCTGTTCCTGGGGGCGGCGGTGGGGTGGGGGGGCCTTGGGCCAGCATCCCACTGCTCACTATCAGTTCTGCCACTGCTTCTGTTTTAGGGGCTGCAGACCCACTATGGACCACCTGCTGTGCCTGTTTCCTCTCCAAGGGACTCCTTGGACCCTTGCAGCTCTGTGTAATCTGGTGGTCCTAGGCCCACCCCAGGCTGTACCTTCACCTCCTTTAAGAGCACTTGGGTATAGAACCTGCCATCCGTCATAACCCTCAGGCAGAGCAGGCCGGGCCATCCAGCACTCCGTGGAAGTCTGGAAGATCCTGAAGCAAAGAGAACAGTACAAGCTGGGGGGGAAAGTCCTGAAGCAGTCCTAGGGATGACAGAGCTGATACTAAGTGGATGGGACACTGTGTAAGAGTGGTTCCAACACTCCCAGGATGGGGCGTGCATCTCACATTCACCCTGACCGTCAGAATCCTGCCTTCCAGAGTCTTGAAGGCCTAGTCAAAGCAGGGCTGCTTGGGGTGGGGGGCTCCTGTGGATGACCGCCTGCGGGTTTGGAGCCCTTTGAGGTCTGGGACTTCATCCATCCCCTTTGGGCTTCTCACCAGGCTCTGCCTCTGTTGCCTTCTCCATTCTGAAGCCCTTCCTCGTTGTAGTATTCTCCTACCAGCAGGCCCCCGCCGGTGCCCTGGGCTGAGGTGAACGTGGTGACGACACGGGCAGGGATTCCCAGGCCTCGCAGCACTGCGTGGAAGCGGGCAGAGGGTCAGGGCACCAGAGGGGCCTGGGACGCGGGGGATGGGGTCTGTGGCTAGCATTGTCAGTGTCTCCTCTGGACACGAGGCACTTTCATGGTCTTAAATGCCAGGTGACATTGTGGAAAGAGAAGGGTCACAGGAACTGACACCCGCCCGACCTAGGCAATATGAAGGCCAAGTAATGAGCAACAGACAAGGGACACAGCAGGTGAGTACACAGCAGGGGGAGGCTTCAGCAGAGCGCTGGGACTGGCTTTTCTGGGGCAGAGGCAGGGAGGAGCTGTGGGGAGTTTGGGAGCAGAGCTCGCCAGCTGGGCCCAACTTTGCTGAATCTGGGAAAAGGAGCAGAAGCTGGTTGAGATGAATGGCTGGGGAAAAGCCATCTTGGCCAGATGGTGCATGGGAAGCAGTCACAGGTGTGGTGGAGGTGGGGGAATGCTGCGGAGTGGAGGCAGTGGCTGCTTTTGGAGATGTCATGGGGCAGGGGGTACCAGGCAACCCAAGAAGCAAGGCAGACACTGTGCGGTAGCCAAGGTAAGTTGCCTGGGTGCGGCAGGCAAGTCCGCTCTGTACCTGTGCAAGCAACAGCTGCCAACACCCAGGCCTGACCCTCGTACACGGGTCTCCCATGACCAGTGACCCACTGTCGCAGGATGGGCACACTGCCTCGGCGCTTGTTCAGCAAGGCCCTTTCCTCCATAGTCTGGATCTTCGCAGTGGGCAGGACAAACTTCTCCTTAAGAACGTGCAGCTGTTTGGGGAAATGTGTGGATGTTTATGGGGGTGGGTAGGGAGGGCTCGGAGAAGGCAATGGCACCCCACTCCAGTACTCTTGCCTGGAAAATCCCATGGACAGAGGAGCCTGGTAGGCTGCAGTCCATGGAGTCGCTAAGAGTCGGACATGACTGAACGACTTCACTTTCACTTTTCACTTTCATGCATTGGAGAAGGAAATGGCAACCCACTCCAGTGTTCCTGCCTGGAGAATCCCAGGGATGGGGGAGCCTGGAGGGCTGCCGTCTATGGGGTCGCACAGAGTTGGACACGACTGAAGCGACCTAGCAGCAGCAGCAGGGAGGGCTTGGGTTTCTCAGGTGGCGCTAGTGGTAAAGATCCCACCTTCCAGTGCAGGAGATGAAAGAGACATGTGTTCAATCCCTGGGTGGGGAAGATCCCCCGGAGGAGGGCATGGAAACCCACTCCAGTATTCTTGCCTGGAGAATCCCACGGATAGAGGAGCTTGGTGGGCTACAGTCCATAGGGTTGCAAAGAGCCGGACACAACTGAAGTGACTCAGCAAGGGCTCTTCACAGCTCTCCAGGCATGGTGAACAGACCATCTGTATGGAAATCACCTGGAACTTGTTAAACCTGCGTGTTCCTGGGCTCCAGCCTCACCCACTGGGATGGTGTCCGGGAAGCCTCCTTTTTAACAAGTCCTTCAGAATCAGGGGTTCATGAACCGTGAAAGTGTTAGTTGCTCAGTCATTTCCAACTCTTGTGACCCCATGGACTGTAGCCTACCAGGCTTCTTGGTCCATGGGATTCTCCATGCAAGAATACTGGAGTGGGTTGTCATTCCCTTCTCCAGGGGATCTTTCTGACCCAGGGGGTGAAACCTGGATCGAACCCAGGTCTCCCCCACCGCAGGCAGATTCTTGACCGTCTGAGCCACCAGGGAAGCCCACAGTGGCAAATGAAACTCAGGACATGAGAGCAGCAGGTGGGCTGCCCCTCAGTGGAGGCTTTCACTGTTCCTTGGTCTGCCTGGCCCTGATTCTTCGAGTGTTTGCACCTGGGACCATGAGGCTCACGTTTCCTCCTCCTCGCAGGCTAGCCCTGTCCCTCACCACCTCCTCAGAGGACAGGATTGAGCCACATGAGGAAGTAGAGAACACATTACTCCTGCGAGAGAACTTTTTAAGGATAAAAGGAAAGGACCACCTTCATGGGAATAATTTAGAAATGAAAACAAGTTCCTTTGACTGCCTTATCGCCAAACCACGGGTAAGATGGAACTGACCCCCTTCTTCCCAGGGACCTAAGCCCCGTGCAGGGCTGGGGGTGGGGAGGCAGGGAGAGGGAGGTCTCAAGGATATCCAGGTCAGTTTTAGTCCTCGCTGGCTCGGGACCTGCGGGAGGACACCTTCCTGTCATTTCTCTCCCCGCTGGATGCTACTGTCTGCCGCTCCTCACTCTGACCCACAGGGACTGTCCCCTGCACTCTGGGAGGAGGGGACCATTCTTGAGTAAAAACTTCTGGGGCCCTAGACGGGGGCAGAGGACTGCTGTCTCATCTCCTCCCCCTCCCCACCCGTCGTCACTCACCAAGGCGCCCAAGACTCGGGCCACATGCACGGGGTTGCCCCACTTCTCCACCTGATTGTCCACGGTCAGTAAGCTCAAGCCAAGGTCGATGACATCCTCCTCGAGCTGTAAGGACCACACAGGCCACCCATGATGGGGGGTGTGCGGGTCAGCCTCTCCTTCCACAAGTCAACCCTGCCCCCTTGTCCTTCTTGACTCAGGCTCCACTCCTCCCTGCCGTGTTCCTGAGGAAGTTCTGGCTTTTCCCTCTGCCCTAGGGACCCCTCGTCCCAGTGCCCGGCATCTCAGCCTTTTGCCTCTTCTATTGTCTGACTGCTGATAGTGTGGGCTTCTGAGCACCAGAGCTCTGTGGAGTCCTTTCATTTCTGCAGTTTTTCATATAATTTGCTCCCACAGCTCCTAACAGGGCTATCCCTGTGTGGGGGTGGAGAAAATGGAGCAGAAGTGAGGAGCAAGGGAGACATGTGCCCACTTAGGCTACAGATCTCAGCAACGTGGTTGGGGCTCTAGGAGAGATGCCAATCCAGGGAGCACTGTGGGGAGTCAGTCTGCCTCTGGGGGCTGGGAAAACTTTCAGAGGGCCTTAAAAGATGGGCAGGCATTTCCCAGGTGGTAAGTGAGGGAAGGTATTCCTGGCAGAGCAAACATTCAGCCTGCACAATCAAGGGATGGCCAGGAGCTGAAGCCTGCAGTGGGTGGGGGCTCTTGGGGAGAGGAAAGCACTGGCCTGACTGTGAAGAGTCTTGTGTGTCAAGCCAGCGGATTTGGTTTCTATCCTGTAGATGGTGAGGATTTAACAGAGGCTTTATCTGCATGGTCTTTAGGAAAATAACTCTGGTGGTTGAGGAGGATGGTCTAGTGTGGCCCTGAGGGGACCGAGGTACCACGTGGCTGAACTTGCATGAAGAAATGGCCTCATGACCAGAGGCTTTGGACTGGCCCAATCTCTTTGACTTGAGCACTGAAAGTTATGGGGTAATCGCTGTCTCCCCACCTTCCCTGGAGGTCCCCGTACCTGGCCAAAGTCCCAGGGCTCATCCTGGATGCAGTCAGCCGTGCCCAGGAAGATGAGGCCATTCTGGTTCAGCAAGTACTCCCTGCGCTGAGCTTCATTCCCCAGGAATACAGCATCCTCTGGAGAGAAGCAGGCAGGGATGAGGGACTGTGGGGTGCTAGGCGTGCCATCCATCTCCAGGCCTTTGCCCTCCCTGCTTAGGTGAGATTCTGCTGCAGGCCCTCCCTTCAGCTCCAGGCCTGGTAGAGACTGTGAAGGAAACCCCTCTTTTCATCCCATACTGGGACCAGGCCTCCTCTCTGGTGAGAGTGGGGAAGGCGATGAGAGTCCCTGGGTCAGCCACAGTGGCTTTCATGGTCAGCCAGCAGACAGGAACAAGCCAACCTTAAAAGGCCTACTGGTTCCCAAAGAAACCTGCTCCTGAACCAAGAGAATTTGGCAACAGGCCAGGGGAAGGGGCCTGCTATGTCTCTCTCATAAGTTCAACCAGGAAAAAAAAATGTTTCAGAAAAACCAACAGGTTGACTGATGTGAGCAGAAGGAAAGAAAAGCAGGGGCAGAGGGAGAATGGGGCTGTGTGTGTGAGGAGCACTGGGAGCCACCTGGCGTGTCCAAGGGGGTCTAGGACTCGCATGGTCTCTTCCTGCTGCCTCTCCTACTATCTTCATCAAAGGGCTGCCTGGGGGTCATGAAGGGGGTTGGGGCTTGAAGGAGGCCATCGCCCACTCTAGGAAGCTGGGAGCAGCTGGGGGACCTACTCTGCCTGTCAAATGTCTCTCTCTGCATGTTGCCAGGGGTGAAGTAGGGGGTGGTTGGACTGTTTCCTGGAGACTAGAATGAGAAGAAGATTTCCAAACCATCTTCCCAGGCATCCAACTAGGATGAGGGTACTCAAAGTAACAGAAGGCTGGGGTATTAGATATCAGGAAGCCCTGAAAAACCTCGGACAGAAAATCACAGAATCATGTGCCCAAGGAGCCCCGGGCCCCTGCCCCTCCATCCTGAGTACTATCTGTGAAGTCAGCTGGACATTGCCTCTTTGGAAATTGCTTCAAACCAAGGAGTTTGCCTCTGCAGGCTTTGGGAAGTACATTATCAGAGCAGAGGTAGCACCCTCCTTCTCAGCTTGGGTGCATCCCCTCCCCTTTTTATAAAGCTCCCTGCTTATGAATAGGACTTTGACTTTCACTATTGCTGCTACTGCTCAGTCACTTCAGTTGTGTCTGACTCTGTGCGACCCCATAGACAGCAGTGCATCAGGCTCCCCCGTCCCTGGGATTCTCCAGGCAAGAATACTGAAGTGGGTTGCCATTTCCTTCTCCAATAAAAGTGAAAAATGAAAGTGAAGTCGTTCAGTCATGTCCGACTCTTAGCAACCCCATGGACTGTAGCCTACCAGGCTCCTCCGTCCATGGGATTTTCCAGGCAAGAGTACTGGAGTGGGGTGCCATTGCCTTCTCCGGACTTTCACTACAGGGTGTAAAATTTCCTTTTGAATTCAGAAGAGCCCCATCTTCAAGTATGGTAAGATGAGACTGAGTTCCAGATAATCTTTGAAAATCTCTAACTCACCTCCCAGATGGGCAGTGCCAATAGTTCACCCCTGGCCAGACAGACACCTCACCCCTATAGAGAGGCCTTCCCTCACCGGTCCCGACAAGCCAGGTATGGAGGCAGGAATCCTGGCATAGAGTCAAGACTGTGAGCTCCCTCTGAACCAAGGCCTGTTCCAGAACTGTATTTCTGCATCTTTGCTCAGGTAGTCAGGACCTAGCTCTGGATGTGCGCTCAGTCAATGAGGCAGGTACAGTAAAGCCTCAGTTTTGAAGGGAAATGGCTTGAGGGTCTTTCTGGCAGTATGCACAGAGCCATGGGCCCTTGTTCAGCTGAAAGGGCCTTGAATCCATACTCACCCACATGGGGCAAGGGCACCTCAATGGACACTAGTTCCCCTCCATTGTTCCACCTGCCAACCCCCTTGGAGCAGGAATGAAGGGCCTGGACTGAGGACAGACAGGGCTATCTGAAGGAGGGGGCCACTCGAGGACTCCAGGCTGGGCAAGAGAAATGGAGACAGGGAGTTACTGGGACTCAGGTGCTGTATAGGAAGGCCATTAGGCCCTGGGATCCAGGGGCTTTAGGGGAGATTTCTTCTACTTCCCCTTGTTACCAGCCATGCCTCATAAGGAGGCCCCCTTTGGGCTGGCAGTGAACTTGTGAAAGTAAAAGCCTTGTCTGGGGTAGCAAGGATGGGCAAACAGGAAGAAACTGTTTTCCAGTCCCCTCCATAACTGTTCAGGTAGCCCAAAGGATTAAGGTGGGGGATGGCAGATTCAAAAAGGAAGACAGACTCAGTATTCAGAATGGGAAGGAAGAGATGTTCTCTTGACTTTTGTTTGGGACATGTCAACCATGTCAGATGACTTTTCTAGATTAAATAGTCCTGACAACTAGGGCTGAGCTTTGCCAGAGGTGGCAACTCGCTGGGCCTCAGGAGGCCACCTGTCCCCAGGAAAGTCCATCCAGAGGCTGCTGAGCTAGGGAGACTGGTTGCTAATTTGCTGCTCTAGGTGGGTATTTGGATGGGTCATGGTGGAGAGAGAGAGAGTCTATAGTAAGGACAGAACTAACAAGTAGAAAGAAGCAAGAAGGAAGATTTACTGTGAAGCTGAAACTGAAACTTTGGGTCCCTCACCAACAACATAAACCCCCTTCAAGTCAGGGAGGGGCCTAAGCAATTCAAAATTCGATGTTCTTTTTCTTAAAGAGGATCCCCCAAATTATTTAAAAACTCAGGTCCCGCAAAACCTGGATTCACCCTGGAGACAGACTATGGTAGCCCAGGGAGGGATCAGAGAAACCTGTCCCACAGGCCCCCTCTTTTCCTGAAGTGCTCTCCAGCTCTCGGCCCCTAGCCTGTTATCACAGAGGGCAGTGCTTCTAGGGTCACCTCAGTGAGTCTCAGATCCTGTGACTAAGTAGCTTGAGCCAGGACCAGACTGGCCTCTGCTCTCAGTGGGAAGCTCAGGGCTTCTTCCATCAGGTGACACCACATCAGGACCCAGGGTCTGAGAGGCCGTTCATCAAGAGACCAGTTTCCACAGTGGCTAAGTACCTGTGCTGCTCTAGACGGAGCTGTCCCCTGGGGCCCCAGCTCCAGGCGCTTGAGTCTTGTGCAGCCCAGGCTGATCCAGACCAACTCACCTCGATTCCAGGGGTTAAAGAGCAGTGTGAACTGGCCCAGGCATTGTTTCTTATCTGAGACCTGCAGCAGGAGTGAGTAGTGGCCAATGATAGCATCTGCGGGTGTGGTCACAGAGATAGTCCAGGACTGGTCATCTCTCTCCTCCACCCTTGCACTCCACCACTTCCGGTCCCCCAGACTGGAAACTGAGAATGTGGCTTCGGTCCCATTGGCCTTGGAAGGCTGCTTTCCTGCAGTCATACAGAGATGAATTGGTCATCTGGACCCCTTGGCCACAACTCAGAGTAACAAAATGAAGTATCACAAAACTGAAGTAAGTGAAAATCAGATTTGGAGGCGAATGAAAGCCACCCATCAAGGAATGGGGGTCAGGAATGGGTGAGGGGAGAGCACAGGTCCTTAGCACCCATGGACATCTAGGAAAGGTTCATAGTGTACAACATGGGTGTCATCATATCTCCTTCACTGGACAGATGAGAGGTCTTAATGAGATATTGCAGGTAAAGCCCTTGGCTCAAAATCTGACATGTAGTACGGATTCAGCAAGTAGTAGAAATTAAATGTTATATTTAGCCTAGATTAAATCCCATTCAGGCTTTTCTACAAAACTGATACATATGCAACAGAAAAACTCCTTAGTGATAATGCAGCTAAGCAACTTCTGAATTATGATAAATGCTACTTACTATGCATATTATCAGGCTTCCCTGGTAGCTTAGCTGGTAAATAATCTGCCTGCAATGCAGGAGACCCCAATTTGATTCCTGGGTTGGGAAGATCCACTGGAGAAGGGATAGGCTAGCCACTCCAGTATTCTTGGGTGGCTCAGATGGTAAAGAATCCGCTTGCAATATGGGAGACCTGCTTTCAATCCCTGGGTTGGGAAGATCCCCTGGAGAAGGGAATGGCTACCCACTCCAGTATTCTGGCCTGGAGAATTCCATGGACAGAGGAACCTGGCAAGTTACAGTCCATTGGATCACAGAGTCGGACACAAATTAGTGACTTACACTTTCATTTGCTTGCATATTATCTCATCCTCACAGGATTTCTTGAGGCCCAGGTGCAGTGCGAGCCGGTTGCCCCTTGGTTCCCTAAGGTGGGGCTGGAGAAAGCATCCCCTGGTCCTATTGCCAAAGGAGTTGAGGGCAGTCCCACTCACCGGTTTGTGCAATGAGGGCTACCTTCTTCAGGGCACGCAGAAATGTGAGGACTGGAGCCTGAAAGTGCAAACTGATGGTGAAGGGCTGCCCCCTCCTCACGATGAGCCGTTGGGAGCTGATGTCATGGGTGTGATGCTCTGCATTGTTTCTTGCTGCCTGGAAGTCGCAGCTCTTGATCCCCAGGCCTGTTGTGGAAAGAATGAAATCCTGGAGATTAGGTAAATGTGACAACGTCAGTAAAAGCAGAGACCCTGAAGTCAGAGATGCAGGGTTCAAATCCTTGGCTCAACTTACTAGCAGTGCTGTCTCAAGCAAGTCGCTTAATCATTCATCCTCAGTTTCCTCTTCCTCAGAATAACCATCCCTCCTTGCAGGGTTGTGAAAAGCAAATGAGGTAGTGTACATAATATTCTCAGCCCCGTGTCAGACACATAGTAAGTCCCTGTTACTATTATTAATAAGAACAATGCTTGTTCTCATTGTTGACCTTCTTTTCTGGTCCCAATTCAAAAACAATGAATGAAATCCAGAATTTTGCTCACTCCTACTCATTTTTGTCTAAGAACACAATGATCATTTTTAGAGCTAATTTTGAAGTCACTGAGTCCAGTTCTGAAAAGAGTGAGGTGCAGAGAGCAGCTCACTCCAGATTGCATGTGGCTTTCACCTAAAGGCTCGTAAAACCCACAGTACCATGCAGCCCAGAAAAACCCTACAAAGGGAGCCTGTGAGTATTAAGACGTTCTCCCAGCCAATTCTCACTTTATAACAAAAATTTGTAAATGTGCTAACAGAGGCTGGGCTTTCTGCATCCTCTGTTTCTGCCTGCTTCCCCGCTTGGGGTCTACCTCTGTCCCTTTCAGCTGCATTCCCTGACTGCGCTGTGCTCTGCTGTAGTAAGTCATGTCCGACCCTTTGTGACCCTGTGGACTGGGGCCCATGGGGATTCTCTAGGCAAGAATAAAATAGTGGGTTGGTATGCTCTCCTCCAGGGGATCTTCCCAAGCCAGGGATCGAACCCGGGTCTCCGGCATTCAGGTGGATTCTTTACCATCTGAGCCACCAGGGAAGCCCTTGAATACTGAAGTGGGTAGCCTATCCCTTCTCCAGGGGAACTTCCTGACCCAGGAATTGAACCTGGGTCTCCTGCAATGCAGTCGGATTCTTTATCAGCTGAGCTACCAGGGAAACCCTGGTTTCCCTGACTCCTGCCTCCCTTCTCTCCCACTTAGCTTTCAGGCTACGACACTCTCATGCTTTCCCAGGTTGTCTACCAGATGGACCACAACCCAGTGAAAATAGTCGTGTTAGGATGATGCTGGGATAAGAGTATAAATCTGTTTAACCACCATCACCACCTTACCACCATCATCACAACATGACCAATTTACCACCAAAAACCCAGTCGATTGTCGCTTCATAGCCACACCCCCAGCACCACATCACCATTGCACCCATCACCGCTTCCCACCATAACCCACCCCTATCATCTCCGCTGCTGTCAGCACCAACCACTACCTTCCCCACCAGGGTCACACAAACACTACCTCCCCTACCACCAGCACCAGCGACCAGCTCACACACTTTAGCTCCTCCGTCATCAGCACTATCCGTTTACTAGTCCCCCAACATAGCCCTACAACCACCACCTCCACCACTATTAGCATCCCCTAACACCTGCAACCATCATTGCTCATCATCACCTCCGCTACCATCCTGATTATTTTAATGAAAGCATAATGATAGAGAAGATACTGAGAGCCCAGTAAGCCCTGTGGAGAGCTGGCTTGGCTCACCTTGACCCATGGCTGCAGGCTGCTCTTATCCGCCTGGCTACTGGAAATGCTGTTGCTCTGAGCTCCCTCTCTGAATCTGTCTTCCAGACAGAAAATGATGACGAGCACTTTTGTTGGCTTAAGAATCTGTACAGAGTGGCATTTCCTTCTACCCCGCTATGTGCTTCCCCACATGTTTGTCTTTCCTGCTCCCTCCCCTCTGGTATCTCTTGGACCAGCTGCTGGAGGTCCCCGTGCTCGTTTATCTCTTGTACCAGGAGGCCCAGACAGGGGTGTATCTGGCAGGCTCGAGGGGGAAGCGAATTGCAGGGGGAATCTGCCAGTTGGAGAAGCCCAGATAAGTGTCTAAGCCTCTAGCTTCTGGGGCCTCAAGAGACCCTCAGAGATATTACCTGGATGACACTGGAAGACTCTGGAAGGAGGTCCATATACAACTTCAGATTCAAGCCCTAAACATGTCTTGGGCTTTAAGTTGTTAGATTCATGGATCTTTCTGCTAATATAAAGAGAGAGCATGTGTGTCTGGGATTCATTTGTGTGAAAGAGATTAGCGGGTAGAATTTGTTGGTGGAAAATAAATGTCCAAAGAGCAGAAGCAAGAATTGTGGCTCTTTCTAGCCTGCTGGGTCTGGCACACTCGATCAGAGGAGGTTTCTCCTGTCGTTTTTCCTATTACTGCTTGTTTTGTAAACAAGGAGACAACACAGGAGGATCTCCTACTTGGTTCTCTTGGCCTCCCAGGATTTATCTGGGCTTCTGAGACTGTGTCACTAGAGGCTCGCTCAGACAGCTGGACTGGCCTGCACATATATGGCATGTCTACAGAAGGATATAGAAGAAACTACAAGAAACTACAACCGTTGTTTGACTATGGGGAGGGGAGCTTAGAAATGGACATAGGAATGTGATTTTTCTGCTGTTTACTAGTTTATACTTTTCAAACTTTGAACCATTACTCATGAAGAATCTCATTATGCAAAGAAGGAAGCTATTGCTTCTCACTCTTACCAAAAAAGAGTCTTCATGAGAAATGAAGAGGGAATTTTTCTTATTATTTGAACATGGTATAATTTTTACCTGAAAAATGTAAATATACTGAAAAATGATTATAGGAGACAAGATGATTTAGTGAGATTATCTTAAGTTTAATGCATTACCAGTGAAAATACTAGCAAGTTTTTCCTCTGAAACTGAACAAGCTGATTCTAAGGTTCAAAAGTAAATTTCTAAAAGATCTAAAATATGATCTAAAAAGAGTTAAAGTTTAATGATCTAAAAAATCTCTCATTAGAAATGTAGTATGGCCAGGCTTCCTAGATACTAAAATATGTTATGACAGTACTGTAATTAAAAAGTAGGTAGACCAAATTGTATGTATTAAATATATACTAAATGTGGCAAATAAGTAGTAAAGATAAGAATTCATTAGTAAATGGTTTGGGGATAATGGCTTCCCAAAATAAAGTTTGTTTGTGACTTTACACAATATACTCCAATAAATTCCAGATGGATCAAAACTCTAAATGTAAAAAATTAAATCCTAAAAGCACTAGAAGAAAAGATGAGACTTATTTTTGAGTCAGCATGGAGAAGGCCTTTAAAGATATTGCACAAACTCCAGAAGCCATAAAGAAAAGATTGATAAATTTGATTCCATAACAATTTTTATGTGGGAAAACTTATAAACAAACTTAAAAGATATACAACAAGTTGGGGAAAATCTTTGAAACTCGTATCACAAAGGGTTACTTTCCTTAAAGTAAAAGGTTCTCGCAAATTAAATAATAAAAGGACAACAAATCAATAGAAAAATAGATGAAGGATACAATGGGTAATTCACAGAAAAGGAAGATCAAATGTTTCTTAAGTATGTGAAAAGATGTCTAGCCTCATTTAATACAAGTACAAAATAAAACCGCCCTGGGATATATATTTTTTTACCTATCAAGTTAGCAAAGATAAAATAGTTTCATAACTCTCTGAGTTAGTGACGGTTTGGGGAAATAGTTGCTCTCTCAGTATGCTGGTAGGAGTGTAAATTGGCGCATCTTTATAGAGGGAAATTAAGTAGTATCTACCAAAACTTTACATGTTTATGCTTTTGAATTAGCCATTCCACTTCTAGATGTTTTATCATGCAAATAACCAAATGTGTAAAATGAAATTTAGACAAGTATATCCATTGCATTGGAAGTTATAATACCAAAATCTTGGAAACTACCTAAATGTCCACAGATAAGGCATTGGATAGATAAATTATGAGACATGAATTTAATAGAATACTATACAAGCATGAAAAAGAATGAAGTAGCTCTGTATAAACTGATATGGAACAATCTCCAAGCTACACTGTTAATAAGCAAGGTATGAATAAGCAGTGTGAACAGTATGCTACCTTTGTAGAAAGGGGTGTATGTGTGTGTGGCAAATATATATCACTTTGCTTGTACTTACATAGAATATTTCTGAAAAGCTAGTGCTTCTAATAACTATTAAGTTATTGATTTTATAGGAAAATTCAATGCCTGGGAGTAAGGAAGGCTTTTTTCTTTATACTCTTTCATATCTTTGTACCACAGAAATATATTATATGTTAATATTTCAAAAAAATAAGAAAAGCTTACAACAGTAAGAAAAGCAGATGGGAAGACCTTTCACAATTGTGAGCCCACTATCTGGGAGGGCAACAGCAGAGTCATGGGCTGGCTCCATTTTTGGGATTCCACTTCTGGCACTAGCAAAAAGAATCTTCTCTTTCCCCATACAATTCCCATGGAGTTTTACAAATACCACTCTCTGGCAGTGTTTCAGCTGGCCACTTAAAAATATTTTAAATCCATGGCTGATTCATGTCCATCTATGACAAAACCCACTACAATATTGTAAAGTAATTAGCCTCCAACTAATAAAAATAAATGAAAAAAAGAAAAAAAATTTATTTGCACTGGGTCTTAGTTGTGGCATGTGGGATTTTCTATCTTCATTGCAGCATGTAGGATTTTTTTTTTTTTTTAAGTTGCAGCATGTGGGATCTAGTTCCCAGGCCAGGGATCAAACCTAGGTCTCCTGCATTGGGAATTTGGAGTTTTAGCCACTGGACCACCATTTGGAGGTGGGCCACTTTTGAAGGAGCTTGTGGTGAGACAGATACTGCTCTATTTTGGTGGAGCTGGGAAAAGGAGAGTGGGAAATGTGAGGATGGAGGGAGGAAGGAGTGATTATAAAGGTCCATCCTACTTCCTCTTGCACCCACACCTTTCAATGCCCCATCCTCTGGCAGAAAAACAAACCTTCAGCTGGTGTGTACCCAAGAAGGATTCACTAATTCATGTGTGACACAAATATTTATTGAGCACTATTGTGATTCCGGGACTGTTTTAGGCACTGGTAATACAGTATTAAATTAGCTGGGCATGTTCTTGCCAGCAAGGAGCTTATATTCCAGCAGGGGCAAACACAGTATTAAGTGCATACACTATTAATTATTTATTTGCTGTTGTGACAAGGGCTATAAAGGAGAAGTTTTGAGTTCTAGGACCTGGATGTGGAGGTCAGGGAAAGCTTCCTGAGAAAGTGATACTTAAGTTCAGAAATTGGAAGGATAAATAGGAGTGAGCTAGGCAATGGGACAAGGGGAGGGGTGGGAGGAGGGACAACAGTGTGTGCAAAGGCCCTAAGGGAGTGAGCAATTAAAGGAATGCCATGAAACGAGCACGGGTTATAGTGGGAAAAAGTAAGGGAGAAGGGCTCCAATGCTAATTGGACAGCAATGTCCAGTGCTGCCCTCCATGCTAATGGAGGGCAAAGAAGAAAAGATATTCAACGTGAACTAGGTTCAAATAAATTATGCTGGTCCATTGCTTTACAAAGCACTTTCACACATTTCATCTCATATGATCTGAACCTCAATCTTGTAAACTCAGTAAGGGGGATCATTATTTCAATTTTATTGGTGAGAAAACAGGTTCAGGGAGTAAACATGTTTATTTTAATGAATGAATTAATGGATAAATCGATTACCATACTGCCTTTTTCAGAAATAATTTGACGGCTAACATCACGTTTCAGAAGAGCATATATTAAAACAGTGCAAAAGATGAAAGATGGTTAGAGATGGAGACAAAACAAAGATAAGGCTAAAAATGCACATCAAACCTACCTGCACACATGCTGTCCACACATTAGAACTTTATCCCTAAACCTCCCAGGATCTGAGGCTTTCCCAAGGCCTCAGAGTTTATGATAAAGGTTGAATTTCACTAGGGTTTTCCAGCTCAGATCCTATACATTTGAGTTCATATTAGTCTTTAATCCAAACCACCACTGAGAAGGAGGGTCCCTGTATTCAATCTTAAAAAGAAAACTCTTAAGGACTTCAACTTCTAAACATAGCAGGAGAGCTTGATACCATTGTCCCTGTTGAAAATAACTAGAAATCTGAACAAAATATCTCAAATTTCTGTCTGTGTGTGAGGCAGTAAAGATTTGAGGGACCTTGGGGAGAAGAGAGGCACAGAGAGGTAAGCCTGACAGATACCACTTTTCCTTTTGGGACATTTGCTGATCCACAATTGGCAGATGACAGCCTGAGGATCTGTTAAGATCTCTGGGAGTCTTACAGGGCTGAAGGATAAAAAACTAGAGTTCCAGGGCCATCAAGGATGGAGGACCCCAATAAACATTCTAGGTTTTCAGTGGGGAACCCTGAAGAGCTGTACCCCAGGAGTAAAGGCAAAGACTTTACAAAGACGGAAGCCTGACTTTGACTGTTTTTAGGCTCTCATTCAAAGAAAAATTTTATTTCTGCTGATATTGTATAAGGTGCTGTTATTATCATTATTTATCTGATAAAGTTTTAAATAATGGAACAGCATAGACTGATTTAAAGAATTTTTATTGTGATAGAAAACATGTATCATA